ACACCTTCCTTCTAGCATTAGGGGATTGCTACCCACAAGAATATCTTAAATTGGCAAGAATCAAACTGCTAATTTTTTCCTAATTTCTTCCTTCCAGCCTCTGTTGTAGATGGACATCCCTGCATGTATACGTGATGTGAGCATTTGCCTGGTGCTGTGGGGGCGTGCGCACATGTATGCTTAGGAAGCAGGCTATCAGGGGCAGGAGAGTCCTGCTGACAAGGGTGCCTTTCCCCGGGCCTACTCAGGCCTCTGTACTACAAGTTCAGGTACAAACCACCAGGCACTGTTTTTCTTATTCTTACCTAATGTCTGGTTCACTTTAGGGCCCTTTTAAGTTTTCAGAAGAGCTTAAGATACCCCGGAAGCACAGGTTTCCAACAATCAGCAGTATTAGTCTCTTTGTATAGCCTGGTGAACTAGCTCTGGGCTAGTTCATTTCTGAGATCATTTCTGAGATCATTTCTCTGTCAGCTCTGCTTGCCACCAGTCTTGACTGCTTCCTTGGTGGTTTATTAGACTCCTGGGAGACATGGGACAGGGTGAATGTTTAAAATGCGTGCTTGAACCAGAAAGCATTCAGGAGTCTGTTTTACAGTATAAATGTAGTATGTTATACATGTAATCTGTTCTTCAGGAAAAGGTCTTTGGGAAATTATGGGTACCCATTTGAGTCTCTGAATTAAAGTGGCATAATAGTGAGACAAAGTCCTAAATTTTATGTGATTATTTATTTCTGATGATGGAAATGCAGAGGAGGGGTTCTGTTTAACCATAAAGTAACTTTTCTGGGGCTAGGGTTAAGCTGCCACCTTGAGTGCCAGTCATGTCCTGACTGTTCTGCTTTGAGTCCTGGTTGTTCTACTTTTGATCCAGCTCCCTGCTAATGCACCTGGGAAGGTCATACATACTTGGCCATTGCACCCACGTGGGATACCCAGAAGCTGCTCCTGGCTCCTGGTTTCGGCCTGACCCATTGCAGGAACCAGCATATGGAAGTCTCTTTCTGTCTCTTCACTCTCTAACTCTACCTTTCAAATAAATAAAAAAAATAGATCTTTTAAAAAATAAAACACTTTTATAGAGGAAGAATATACAGTGGCTGCAATCTAGAATCTCAATTATTCGTATAAAGTTTTATTTATTTTTTTTTTAATTTAATTTTTTTTTTTTTACTGGAAACTCGGATATACAGAGAGGAGGAGAGACCTAGAGGAACATCTTCCATCTGATGGTTGACTCTGCAATTGAGCGCAACGGCTGGAGCTGAGCCAATCTGAAGCCAGGAGCCTGGAGCCTCTTCTAAGTCTCCCACGCGGGTGCAGGGTCCCAAAGCTTTGGGCCATCCTCGACTGCTTTCCCAGGCCACAAGCAGAGGGCTGGATGGGAAGCAGGGCTACCGGGATTAGAACTGGTGCCCATATGGGATCCTAATGTGTTCAAGGCAAGGACTTTAACCCCTGCGCTATCGCACTGGGCCCTGAAATTTTATTTCTAAAAGTAAAGTGGCCTGCATTATTATAATTCCCCTGAACCTGGAGCTGTTGCTTGTTTGCATTGGGCAGGCCAGACCCTACTGAGTCAGGCTTACGGAGGGTAACATAGCCTGATTTGCTCAGGAATATTCAAAATTATTGACTGGAAGAAAGGTTTCTTTATCATGCATTGGTTTGTCTAGGAAAACTCCTTTTAAATTGAAGAAGTTTTATTTCCTTCTCTTTTCATTTTTGTATTTTTCTCCCTCCCCTGCAAGGGATAAACATCATAGGCTACAAATAAGTGACAGTTGCTTGGCTCGGGCTGTGGCAGATTGAGGCAGATGGGGAGGAGTTGTAACAAGGGGAAAAATAAGTGAGTCAAACCGCTTCCTGATGCCTCCTGAGTTGGATTTACCTGTGTGACTGCATATCTAGATCATTTTGTTTTCTCCCTAGCAAGTAAGCCCACAGCTTAGCTGTAGTACACATGTTAAAACCAACTCTGCAGGCAAAAATTGACCTAGGCACTGTGACATATGTATGACCCTAATTGCTGCCACTGGGTGCGAGTCCACAGGCCTACTGCTCTCTTTGGGAAAACTGGTTCACACTCATTTTAATAACCATAGAATATTTAGAATAGTGTGCTTAGTTCTGCTGTTGATTGTAGCAGGATATTATTTATATGCTGTTGACTTCAGTAACGTCTGTGTTGTAACACAGAAAAATAATTTATTTATGCTCAGTTAACAAACAATTTCAAAACTTCAACACTAGCCTGTGTACCTTCCATGAAACATTAAAATTTGACATGATTGGAAGCTTGAAATTGTTGGTTTTAAAAGAGAAACACTAGGTTTTCTTTCTAGATACTTATCTGGTTATTGAAATGTTATAGTACAGATTGTAAATTCACTTCTTAAAGGAGAATACACTGTTCAATTACTTATTATATTATTCTAGACCATGTAATTTATATTAACATTCATTTATATCTATTTATATTCATCTGGCCCTTCTACTGATGCCAGAATAGATCTTTTAATGGGTGGTGGTCGTTGTGGTGTAGCAAGTAGGTAAAACTGCTACCTTTGATGCCATCATTCTATACAGGTACTGGCTCATCTCTCAGCTGCTCTGCTTCTGATCCAGCTACCTACTGATGTGCTTGTGAAAGCTGCTGAAAATGACCCAAGTTCCTAGGCCTCTGCACTCACATGTGGGACCCAGACAAGCTCCTGGTTTTGGTGTGGTCCAGACCTAGCCATTTTAGCTGTTAGGGAAGTGAACCAGCAGAAAGAATATTGTCTCTCTCTCTTTTTTTTTTTAAAGATTTATTTTTATTATTTTTTTATTGGAAAGGTGGATATACACAGAGGAGAGACAGAGAGGAAGATCTTCTGTCCGATGATTCACTCCCCAAGTGAGCACAACGGGCCGATACTATGACGATCCGAAGCCAGGAGCCTCTTCGGGGTCTCCCACGCGGGTGCAGGGTCCCAAGGCCCTGGGCCATCCTCGACTGCCCTCCCGGGCCACAGGCAGGGAGCTGGAAGGGAAGCGGGGCTGCCGGGATTAGAACCGGCACCCATATGGGATCCCGGGCGTGCAAGGCGAGGACTTAACCACTTGCGCCACCGTGCCCGGCCCACCCTCTCTAATCTTATCTGTTGTTAGGTGGGAGGGTAATTATTACTCATTTTTTAAAATATTGATTTGAAAGATTAAGATAGAGAGATCTGTCCTTTAGCCCACTCCCCAAACAGACAAAACAGACAGGGCTGGGCCAGGCTAAAGCCAGGAGACTGGATCTCCAAATAGTGTGTCTCATATGAGTGACGGGTCCCTGGTATCTGGATCATTCTCTACTATTTTCTAGGCACAGAGCAGGGAGCTGGCCTGGAAGTCAAGCAACTGGACTCAAACTGGCGCTCAGATGTGAGCTATGGGCATCCCAGGCAGTGTCATACCGTACTGAACCACATCAACCCCTGCCATTCCTTTGTAGTAGATGCAGAGGCTGCCCTTTTCTTCAGTATTGATTATAAAAATATTATTACAATAGATTTAATCTTCAATCTGTGATGATGGAAAGATGAAGATTATTCTTTATAGTACATAGAACAAAGTTCTCAAGTAAAAAATATTTTTCACCTAAAATCATTCTAAATTGAAAAGTTGAAATATCAAAGACAGGCAGATTGTTGCTTTGGTTGTTGGTGTCCAGCAGTGTAGTTCCTGGGTACATACCAGGACTCCACTTCCAATTCAGTCTCTTACTAACGTCCACTGTGGAGACAGAAGGTTCAAGTACTTGTGCACTTCCACCCAATAGTTCATTTCTTAAATGGCTGAAAAAGCCAGAAGATCCCTCCCTGCCTCTCCTGTAACTGCCTGAATTCCAAACATGGACCATCTTCTGCTGTACTTGGAGGCACATTAGCTGCAAGTTGGATTGGAAACAAGAACAGCTGGGACTTACACCTGTATTCTGATATGTGATGTTGATATCAGCTTTGGCATCACAAGTTGTGACTTAACCTAACCCTGCTGCACAATTCTGGCCCTAGGAGATGATTTGTCTTTCAGCCTTGGAATGGTTAACTGTTTATTTGCCTGCCTATCACTTTGATGATGGCAATTGCAGGTTGTTTAGACCTCTAGGACCTTCTGTTAAGGCCCAATTGAAACACTATAGCCTGATGCAAATTTTTAACAGAAAATACACACCAATGTATTTAATGATCTGCTTCATGTTCTGCCTCCTTGATGTTGGTGCATTGCAACTGTCCTTGCCAAAAAAATGACACGAACTAACCTTTCTTCCCGTGCTTTCTGTAGTTGCCTCCTGGGCATGAGCTTCATTCCCTGCCTTCCTGAGACACAAACACAACCTGTCCTGCTAGTTCCTGCCATCACTGCCCCACACATGACAAGCTGCTTTCTTCTGCATTTTTAAATAATGCTGCTGATTTGCCATAAGGTTGATACCATTAAATTCCAGTTACAATAAAGACTACATTAACTAAGTTTTGTTTATTACATGAATTCTGTGCTATTTCTAAGAAAAGGTGCAGAGCAGAAGTTGTGTAGTTTTTATATAGTTTTGAGGGAGAACACAAGGGCTCCTCTGCACTGGTTCACTTCCAAATGCCTGTGACTCCCAAGGGACGAAAGCCAGGAGCTAGGAATTGCATCCAAGTTGCCCACATGGGTGGCAGGAAGTTAAATGAGCCATCACTGCTACCTCTGACGTTAGCAGGAAGATATCATCAGGAACCAGAGACAAATCAAACCCAGGCAGTGCAACATGGGATGTGGGCATCCTAACCAGTGGCTTAGCTGCTAAGCCTAACTCCTCAAGCCCCCTGAAGTTAGGATGTTTCAACCAAGGTTTTAAGATCTGTTTTTTGTGTAAGGTGTGTTTGTTTGGCACTTAAGCAGTAGAGACCTTGCAATCTCAGCCTTTTCCAATGAGGTCCCTATTCCTACTTCAGTTTTCCTCTTTCTTCTTTCCTGTAGTGGACATTTGGGAACAACAAAAACAAGAAGAAAGGAAAAACCAGAAAAACAGAGAAGAAAGGAACCATGAAGAAACAAGCCAACAAAACTGCCTCCTCAGGCAGTTCAGACAAAGACAGTTCAGCCGAGAGCTCGGCCCCAGAGGAAGGTGAGCAGAGCAGCACCCCTTCCCGCCATGGCCATGCTGCCTCTGTCCTGAGTCCGTGCCTGTCTGCTTCTCCCGGGCGAGAGCCCTCCGAGCATCCTCATGAGGCGAGGACAGTACTTGCAGTCTGGGTGGTTGGTAGCATGGGTCCGTGACAAGTCCCTGCGTTTGCTTTAATTCACTTTACTCTAAACACCTACTCTTCCTTTTTCCTGTGGCCATACAAGGTCTGATTGAGGATGGAAATCCTAGAGTCAGTACAAAATGCTCACTTTTTTTAAAAGCAATTCCAGAATTTCTTAGTAACACAGGATTGACAAGTGAACTTGTCAAATGAATAGTACTTACACACAAAATGGCCTGTGTGGAATTGGCCTAGGCTGGTTTTAGCACTTGCTTGTAGATGCTAACTCAGTCCTTATTCAAAGGCTGAGTTAACCTAACACTCCTGCGTATACTCTTCCATACCACCGTTTGTTCTTTTATGATCCTGTGTAATTGGGAGTTCACTAATTAGTTTAATGACTCATGAAAACATTGGTTTTTAAAGTGCCAACTAATAATGTATAAGAAATTATAGTATTAGAAAAAAATTACCATTTTTAACTGTTATTGTAATAACTGATTTACTAAGAAGTATTGGTGATTTTTAAAACTTTTTGGGAAACAAGAGATTTATAAAATCTCAAAACATCTCCCTAAGTGTACTAAACTATAAAGACAAAAAGGCCTTTACAAAGGAGAAAGCTGAGAGTGTCACCTTAACCATGTGGTCCCAGTAACACCCACTCACAATGGGACATGTACTGCTGATGTGATCTATTGAAAAGGACACAATCACTTAAGGAAGATTCTTGCCAAGAACTCATACGTTGAATCATTTCTTACAAAACAAACCAAAGAAAATTGGAGAACATTTGATAACTGTTTCTACTTAAAATAGCTAAAAATAAACGATTAAAGTACAGTTTCTCTATTGCACCAGCTGTATTTCCGTGTCTCAGTAGCCAAGTGCGGTAGCTGCCATCCAGTAGAGAGCATCTTGATTATCACATCACAGAACTCTTTAAGACAGTTTTGTGGGCTTCTACATACTCTTTCACAAGGCCAGAGGCAGGAGAGACAAGGCTGACTCAGATGAAGGCTTCTAGTGGGACATGATGGCCAAATGCTATGTGTGATCCTCAGTTGGTTCCAGCTTTGACTAGAAAGGATAGTGTTGGGACAGCTGGTGAAATATGAATATGGACTGCATATTAGATAACAGAATTACATCAGTGTTTAATTTTTAAATTTGGCAATTGTATAATTGGTTATGTGAGAGAATGTTCTCCTTAGGAGAAATATTTATTGGGGAAAGCTTCGGATCACTGCAAGTTTCAGTTGGGTAGCATCCATAATAAAAATGTATACCCTATTTTATAACTGTAGACAGAAAGAAAAGATAAATTGACCCTGTTAACCATAGGTGAATATAAAAGTCAAATTATTCCTCCAGTTTTTTTTTTGTTTTTTTTTTTTTTCTGTAGGTCAAAGTAAAATAGGTGAATTAAAAAGTGCAAGTGAGGTGTGGTTTTTAGGCTACTGTCATCAGTTACGACCAGGGCAACCCATTACAGGGTGCCTGAGTTCAAGTCCCGGCTCCAACTTCGGATTCCAGCTTCCTGCTAGTGCCAGTCCTGTTGCTACTGCAGGGGAAGCCTTCGGCAGTGCCAGCTCCTAGCTTCAGCCCCAGCTGCTGCTAGCATTCAAGGAGTGAACCAGTGGCCAATGGACGGGGAGCTCTTTCTCTCTTTTTTATTTCTCAAAAAGAACAAGCTCATTTCTATTCCTGCTTAAAGTTCTTTAGGCCTTGTTAAGGTTACCAAAGACAGTGCAGGGCTGGGCCCCAGGGCACAGGCCAGGTGCTGATGACTGTCAATGTTTGGGGCGCCTTGGCTGCTGTGTAATCTAGAGTTTGGGCCTTTGTTGCAGGTGAGGTGTCAGATTCTGACACCAACAGCTCCTCTTCTAGTTCAGATTCAGACTCTTCCTCAGAAGATGAAGAGTTCCATGACGGCTATGGAGAGGACCTCATGGGAGATGAGGAAGACAGGGCCCGTCTGGAGCAGATGACAGAGAAAGAGAGAGAGCAAGAGCTGTTCAACCGCATAGAGAAGAGGGAGGTGTTGAAAAGAAGGTAAGGTTGCAGCTGCCCTGCCTTTTCTGTGTATTTCTTGTCTCTCATCATGTCCTCTCCCGCGTACTCCTGTCTTGTGCAGATAGTGTCCGACCTTTGGCTGTTGGACTTCCAGAATTTCTACTGTCCACCTGTACAAAAGCCTCCCATATGGCCATTGTTTTTTTAGTATAGTGTTTAAGAAATTACATCCAACATTATTATAAATTAGATTCATATTAGGTTTTGTTCACTTATAGGCAAATCTACATGTTCTGATCATGTTTTTGGTAACTAGCACAAGCCGTATTTGGGATATGATACATTTTTGAAAGGTAGAGAGATAGAATTCCTGTCATCTGGTTCACTCCCCAAATGCCCACAATGACCAGAGCTGGGCTGGGCTGAAGCCAAGAGCCTGGAACTCAAGTCAGGAGTGGCAGGGTCCAAGCACTTAACCCATCACTGCTGCCTTCCAGGGTGTGCATTGCAGGAAGCTGGATTCTTTTGTGAAGGTGGGACTTGAACCCAGGCACTCCAGTATGGATGTGAGCACTCAGTAAAACTGCAACATTGAACATGTTATTGCTGATGATGAAAAACAAACCACATGCTTACATTTAAGATATTTGTTGTTTACTCAGTACTATTTAGATTTGTTAGAACACTTTTTTTAAGTTTTCATTCATCTGCTTTATCAAACCAACACAATGTTTAATTAATTTATTTATTTATTATTACTTTTAAAGATTTATTTTCATTAGAAAGTCAGATATATATAGAGGAGGAGAGACAGAAAGGAAGATCCTTGACCCACTGATTCACTCCCCAAGCAACCTCAGGGACAAGTGTGGCTGCCAGGACATGAGCCAGAGCCCATATGGGATCCTGGTGAGTGCAAGGCAAGGGCTTTAGCCACTAGCCTACTATGCTGAGCCCAGAACACTATTTATTTATTTATTTATTTATTTTAAAGATGTATTTATTTTTATTGGAAAGGCGGATATACAGAGAGGAAGAGAGACAGAGAGGAAGATCTTCCGTACAATGGTTGATTCCCCAAGCAGCTGCAACAGCTGAAGCTGAGCCAATCCAAAGCTAGGAGCCTCCTTCAGGTCTTCCAAGTGGGTGCAGGGTCCCAAAGCCTTGGGCCGCCCTCAACTGCTTTCGCAGGCCACAGGCAGGGAGCTGTATGGGAAGCAGGGCTACCGGGAGTAGAACTGGTGCCCATATGGGATCCCCGCACATGCAAGGCAAGGACCTTAATCACTACGCTATCACACCGGGCCCTTAAATTTATTTCTAAAGATTTAGAGACAGGCAGAAAGGGCATGGAGATCTTCCATCTGCTTATTTGTTCCCCATATTGTCACAGTGGCTGGGTCTAGGGCAGACTGGAGGCAGGAATCAGGAGCTTCTTCCAGTTTTCCCATTTGGGTAACAGGAGCCCAAGCACTTGGGTCAACCTACAGAAAGTGGGTCAGAAATGGAAAAGCAAAGAGGCTCAAACTGGCATTCATATGGATGCCAGCATTAAATGTAGCAGCTTTACCCACTGTAAACTGTAAAACACATTGTTCATTAAGGTTTTTTGTTTGTTTTTATTGGAATGACAGATTTACAGGGAGTAGGAGAAAGAAACATCTTCCTTCCACTGTTTCATTCCCCAAGCGGCCACAATGGCCGGAGCTGAGCCATTCTGCAGCCAGGAGCTTCTTCCGGGTCTCCCACATGGGGGCAGGGTCCCAAGACTTTGAGCCATCTTCTACCAGTTTCCCAGGCCACAAGCAGGAAGCTGGATGGGAAGTGGAGCATTCAGGACAGGAACCAGTTCCCATATGAGATGCAAGCACTTACAGGTAAAGGATTAGCCAATTGAGCCATTGTGCTGGCCCCCTTAGAGTCTTTGTCATAAAGCCTACCCATATGGCCATTATGTTTTTAATGAATGCACGTGTGATTATCCCAACAGTCCTGTGAGATTAGTTATCTCTTAAGGCCAGAGATAGTAGCTAACTCTCAGTACAGGCAGAAACTTTACTGCTCTGTTTCTAGCTCCAGGAAGAGTAGCTGACACATGGAGTGCACTAAATATTTGTGGAGTAAGTGAAAGAAGGAACTTGCCCAAGGTCATTTGACTGGTAGGTGGCAGAATTGGATTTCAAACAAAGGACCATCTGACCCCCACAAAAACAAAACCAAAAAAAATTACTTTTTGGCAATATCCCCTCAGGCCTCAAGAGTCCTGTGATTTTTGCTTATTCTGTACCACAGGCACTAAGGGAATTACTTGATAGAAAGCAATACATGATTGGATTCCTGTTAAGCAAAAGTAGTAAGGCAGCCATGAGATGGCTGCCATCATTACTGAAAGTAATGTGGAACACATAAAATGCTGTGTGGAAAGTAAATGGTAAAAACGATATTTTGCAGCTCTAAAGTTGCCCAAACACCTAAGTGGAAGCAGTTGTCCAAATTTGCCCTGGGCAGCTCTCTCTTCATCAGATTGGAGACTGTGATTTGCCCTCTGTACTTGCAGGTTAACCCTGTTTCACAGTCCTGCTGGCTTTCATTGATTGACTGGTTTAGATGTATTTTATGAAAGGCAAAGAAACCGAGAGATCTTTCATTTGTTTATTCACTCCCCAAATGACTGTGACAGCCAGGTCTGACAAGGCTGAAGTCAGGAACCAGGACCTTGATCCAAGTCTCCTGCATTGATGGCAGAGGCGCAGGTACTTGAGCCATCATCCGCTGCCTTGCCAGTTGCATTAGTGCCAGCTAGATCAGAAGTGGAACAGCCAGGACTCAAACAACACTGTAATATGTGATGCTGGTGTCCCAGACAGTAACTTAACCACTGGCCACAACACTGGCTCCAGGTTTTGTGTTTTCTGAAACTCAGCTTTAAGTTGCCTTTTCATTTAACATGCTTGAAAAGCAGAATTACAAGAAGATCTTCCATTTACTGGCTCACACCCCAAATACCCACAACAGCTGAGAATAGGCAAGGACAACCCCGAGAACTGGAATTCCATCCAGGTCTCTCTTGTGGGTTGCAGGGACCCAAGTACTTGGACCATTGTCTCCTGTCTTCCAAGACACATCAAAAGTTGGCACTCCAATTTGAGGTGTGGGCATCAAAAGCAGCAGGTTACTTCCTGTGCCACAAAGCCTGCCCCTTAAATTGTTTTTTTTAAAATAGTTATTTTATTAGAGAGGTAAAGAGACAGAGGTCTCATTGCTGGTTCACTATAATCTTCCCATAATGTTGGAACTGAGCATGCCAAAACCAAGAAGCTGGGCCTCCTGCCAGCTCTTGCATGTTCCCCTTCCAAGCATTAGCAGGAATGTGGGACTGGGAGTGCAACTGGGACTTAAACCCAGGCACTCAGGCAGGGGAGGCCAGTGACCATGCCAAACACCCGCCCCCACTGCTTTGTGATATTCAGAAGCTGTTTCATTTTTCTGGACTTAAGCCATGTTTTAAATGGCAAAGGTTCTTCCTTCTAACAATTTGAAGGTGAAACTGTCTTCAGAAATAAAATACAGTCTCAGATCTACCATAAGAAAGAAAACTAAATGCAGCTTCTCTGGCAGCAATTTATTCTGGTTCCTCCAAGAGCCTGTTTGTCCTTTGTGGAGACCATATTAAGTGTGCTGAGTTATTCTCAAAAAGAATTTTTGGCTTTCAGTCAGCAGCCAGCAGTAGACATTTGTTTGGCGTCCAAATGCTTCCAAGGTTACCTGTGTTGGAACAAACATAATGTCAGAGGTTGCCACTGGCACTGCAGGTACAGGGGACCAGTGTGCTGCGGATTTCTTACCTGTGGAGAGCGTGCAAGAGAACGATTGTCTTTCAAGACCACTAGTACCTAAAGAAGCATGGGGACCTGTTTTCAACCTTGGTTGCTTTTACATTTTTCATCATTTGTGAGTGAAACAGCTGATTCTGTGGTTTATGGTGGTTAAGAAGTTTTTAGAATGACACTTGTTAAGGTAGAAGTTTCGGGGTTGGCACAGTGGCTCAATTGGCTAATCCTCTACCTAACTGTGCCAGCATTTCATCTGGGCATCGGTTTGTATCCTGCTCTCCGTTCCCATACAGCTCCCTGCTTGTGGCCTGGGAAAGCAACAAGGATGGCCCAAAGCCTTGGGACCCTACACCCACATGTGAGACCCAGAAAAAGCTCCTGCTGACTCCTGGTTCTTGGCTTTAGATCAGTTCAGCTCCAGCCATTATGGCCATTTAGGGAGTGGACCAGTGGATGGAAGATTTTTCTCTCTGTCTCTCCTTCTCTTTGGAGTAAAAATGAATAAATCTTGAACAGATTTAGATACAGAAACAGAAAATTGGGTTTTTAGGGCTCCTTTTTCTAGCTTTAGGGCAATTGCAATAGAGCAATGCAAAATGTTCCTTCATCTTGTGCATCTATTCTAGGCCTTCCTATGGGTTTCCCTAACCTTTATGTGTGAGCCCATTATCATCCCTGTCCATTCTGTGGCATAGCACCAGGTGGGATGTGTCATTCTCAGTGGGGCAGGAATGTTGCAGGGGCCTGGTGGGGGGAAATACTGGCATTTTCAGAGAGTCTCTGATGAAGTCACACTCACTGGCCAAGTGATGCCTTTTTTTTTTTTTAAGATTTATTTGTTTTTATTGGAAAGTCCGATTTACAAAGAGGAGGAGAGACAGAAAGATCTTCATCTACCAGTTCACTCCCCAAGTGGTCGCAACAGCCAGAGCTGAGCCAATCTGAAGCCAGGAGTCAGGAGCTTCTTCTGGGTCTCCCACACAGGTGCAGAATCCCAGGGCTTTGGGCTGTCCTCTACTGCTTTCTCAGGCCACAATTAGGGAGCTGGATGGGAAGTGGAGCAGCCGAGATACGAAGCAGTGCCCATTTCTGATCCCAGTGCCTGCAAGGCAATGACTTAAGCCACTAGGCTATTATGCTGGGCCCTGGCCAGGTGATCTTAAGTAAATCACATTACCGTTGGGGTCAGCACCATGGTGTAGTAGCCTAAGCCTCTGCCTGTAGTACCCACATCCCATTTTGGCTTCAATTCTAATCCAGTGCCCTGCTTATCTTGCCTTGAAAAGCAGCATAGGATGGCCTGAATGTTTGGGCCCCAGCACCCACATGGGAGACTGGAAAGAAGCTCCTGGGTTCAAACTAAACCAATTGCAACCATTGTGGCCATTTGTGGAGTGAACCAGTGGATAGAAGATGGATCTCTCCCTCTCTCTCTCTCTGTAAATTTGCCCTTCAGATAAAAATAAATAAATCTTTTTTTAAAAAAAATCACTTTACCTTCTTCCTGCTTCAACTTCCTCTTTCTAGATTGTTGTGCATAAGCCTCTAGAGTGGTAGTACATATGAGAACAGAAGCTTATGGAAATAGAAGCTACAGGACCAGCACGTTGTGACACCATAGATCAAGCTGTCACTTACTGGGATCAAATGGGAACACTAGTTTATGTATGGGCTGCTCCATTTTGGATCCATCTTTTTGCTAATGTGCCTGGGAGGTGGCAGAAGAAGGCTCACGTGCTTGGGCCCCTGCTATCCTTGCGAGAGACCCTGTTAGAATTCTGGGCTTCTGGCTTCAGCCTGGCCCAGTACAGCTGTTGCAGCCATTTGGAGAGTGAACCAGCGACTGGAAGATCTCCCTCTGTCACTTTACCTTTCACATAAATCTTTAAAAAGGAGGTGGGGGTAGGAGGAAGGAGGCTGACATTGTAGCAAAGCAGGTAAAGCCATTGCCCTGTGATGCTGTCCTGACTGCTTCACTTCCACTAACTCCCTGACAATATGCTGTGGAAAGCAGTGGAAAATGGCCCAAATGATTGAACCCTGCACCCATGTGAGAGACTAGGATGGGGCTCCCAGTTTCACCCCATCCAGGGCATGGCTATCTGGGGAGAAGTCGCTGAAATAATCTGCTTAAAATGAACACTTCAGTGGTTTTTACTCTTAGAGCTTTGTAACCATCACCACGATTACTTTCAGGATATGTTAATCATCGTCAGAGAAAGTCTGTGCTCACTGACAGTCGCTATTTGTCCACTTACTGTAGCTGTAGATCAGTCTGTGCAGGATGTTTTGTATGTGTGGATTCTGGGTCATTTTTTATGACTGGCTTCTTGCACTTAGAATGTTTGAAGTGTAACCATGAGGTGTGTTAGTACTTGACTCTTTTTGTAGATGAGTAATAATATTCATTGTTGCTGTACACCCCGTTGTATTTACCCATTCATCTGTTGATTGATGTTGGTTGTTTTCATGTTTTTTGCTGTTGTGAAAGTGATCCTAAGAACATTTCCGTACAAGCATTTTGCAGCTTTTTTTCCGTTCTGTGTGGGTGGATAAGATGCCATCAAGCTGTGTCACACTGGTGTGAATCTGTGTCCACTTTGACCTGTCCTCACTGACATTGTCATTTCCTCATTCTTTAATAATAACTCTCTTAGTAGATGTGACGTGATGTCATGCTACCATTTCGATTTGCTCTTGGCATGTTATGTTGAAGATCTTTTTATGTGCTTGCTAGCTGTTTATACATCTTTGAGGAAATATCAATTTAAATCCTTGCAGCTATTGCTTTTTAATATTTATTTTTTAATTCATTTATTCATTCATTCAGAAGATAGAGTTACAGAGAAAGGGTAAGAGAAAGGAAGATCCTCATATCACAGGTTTGCTCCTCAAATACCTGCAGCAGCCAGGAGTGGGCCAGGCTCACTGTGCTACAGCAGACTAATCTTCCACCCTAAGGTGCTGGCATCTCATATGGGTGCTGGTTCATGTCTACCTGCTGCACTTGGGATCCACCTCCCTGCTTATCGCCTGAGAAAGCAGCAGAGGATGACCCAAATCCTTGGGGTCCCTGCACCCACATAGAAGACCGGAAGAAGCTCGTGCCTCCTGGTTTCAGATCAGCTCAACTGTGGCCTTTGTAGTCATTTGGGGAGTGAACCAATGGATGGGGACTTTATTTCTCTAAAGTCTTCCTTTCAAATAAAGCTAAATAAATATTTTAAAAAGAAAAAAAAATTTAATATACTTAAAGGATACAGTGGTGTTTCTTCCAGAAAGCTGAATGTTTATTAACTCATTTCGCCTGCTAGTTTCCTTTTTCTGATTGAAACTATTCTTTCCCTATATTTTTCATTGTTAACTTAAAAATCAAATAAATTTCTTTAAACCAGATTTGAAATCAAGAAGAAGCTGAAAACGGCCAAAAAGAAAGAGAAAAAAGAAAAAAAGAAAAAGCAAGAAGAGGAACAGGAAAAGAAAAAGCTGACACAGATTCAAGAATCTCAGGTAAGGGAACATGGTTCTTACTGTCCTCAGATGGAGCCTGTTTTCTTAAAAAGTAGAAGAGAACGTGTGTGTAAGGTGTGTGTAATGTGAGCTTACATTGGGGTGCTTCAAAAGTTCATGGAAAAATAGAATTAAAGAACATGTTTATTTGGGTGGGAAAAAAATTGAGATCCCTGCCTATTTCATAATGGCAGTTCCATGGACTTTTTGAAGCTCCCATATACACATGAATTTTAAGATCTTTGTCGTTGCTCCTAAATAGACTTCCCTTTCAGTTCCTGCTAGGTTGCCCACACTGTTTTGTTAACTGCTGAGGTCAGCTTCCCTGGGGTCTAGGTTCATAGAGCCACCCTCTGGGGACAGTTGGTTAACACCTGGCTGGGACATTGGTTGGCATGTTTTCAGGTGGATGTTTTCCTAGATTTCCTGAATGTGTATCTTTGGGAACTTTTCATCTATGCGTTAATTATAAAGTGGTTTGTTGACAATAGTAACAAATATTAGCTATCATCTAGTGTAATCCAAAAAAGTTTTTCCACTTTAAAAAGTTTTTTAATTTTGCTATGCATTCTTGAGTAAGGCTGGGGCTGATTGTTTCCTCTGTCTGTGACCACAAGAGGGTGCTCTCTCCTTCACACAAGCTGGCAGGATACAGCCAGAGTAGATTCTTGCTGGAGAAAGGAATGCATTAACCTTTTGTAGGAGGAGAAGAAGCGAATCATCAGCTGTTGGTAAAAAGTCCTTTATTCTCTTCCCTTGCCAGGTAACATCCCACAACAAGGAACGACGTTCCAAACGGGATGAGAAACTAGACAAGAAATCCCAAGCCATGGAGGAGCTGAAAGCCGAACGAGAAAAACGGAAGAACAGGACAGGTAGGTGGGCAGATGCCATGGCTGCCTTGTGTCTGATCCTGTGAGTTGGCTTCCTCTGGCCCTTCTCATTTTGTAGGCCTTTATTATCAACCATTCCAGGTATACACTGACACACTCTGTAACCCTACATGAGTCCCCCATCCGTCTCAACAAGCAGCTCCAGGCCACTTTTATTACATCTGTGTCCTTTCTAGCATCAGAATTTTTAAAAGATTTGTTTCTTTAATTGAAAGGCATTGCTACACAAAGAGAGCTCCAGCGAGAAAGGCTTCCATCTACTGACTCATTCCCTGAATGGTCACAATGGCTACAGTTGGGACAGTTCAACGCCAGGGCATGTCTCTGTAGAGACAATACAGGGGTAGGGATTTGCACAGTTTTTAAGATGTAGCTTGAGTTGCCCGCGTCTGGTATCAGAGACCCTGGGTCAGACTCTGGTTTGGTATCTAGATTCAAAGTCTTGCTAATGTGAAACCTGAGAGGTGGCAGGTAATAGCTCAAGGACTTGAGCCCCTGGGACCCATGTGGGAGACTCAGGTGGAGTTCCTGGCTCCTGGCTTCTGCTTCACCCAGCCTTGTCTGATGTGGGCTTTTAGGGAATGAACCAGTAGATGGAAGTTCTCTCTTTCCACCTCTTTCAAGTACATTTTTTAAAAAAAAGCAAATGCTTTCTTAATCATCTGGGTTTGCTGTAAGGGTGGCAGGGACCAAGGTACTTGCACCATCACCTTCCCAGGCATGCTTATAGGAACCTGAATTAGAAATGAAGTCCTCCCGGGCCCGGCACGGTGGCGCAGTGGTTAAGGTCCTCGCCTTGCACGCCCGGGATCCCATATGGGCGCCGGTTCTAATCCCGGCAGCCCCGCTTCCCTTCCAGCTCCCTGCCTGTGGCCTGGGAAAGCAGTCGAGGACGGCCCAAAGCTTTGGGACCCTGCACCCGCGTGGGAGACCCGCAAGAGGCTCCTGGCTTCGGATCGGCATAGTATTGGCCCGTTGTGCTCACTTGGGGAGTGAATCATGGGACGGAAGATCTTCTTCTCTGTCTCTCCTCTCTGTATATCTGCCTTTCCAATAAAAAAATAATAAAAATAAATCTTTAAAAAAAAAAAAAAAGAAAGAAAGAAACGAAGTCCTCCCAAGCAGCACCTTAGCCTGTTGCACTATCATGTCTGCCCAATTAATAAAGCTTTTTATAAACCAAGTAAAAATGAAGAGATAGGGGCTCTTGTATTAAACTGAAGTAATAGTTGTATGTATGTAATATAATATTCAGTATTCCAGTGTCTCTATGTGTTTTTACGATTGTTGAGACCAAGATCTTCATTTGTGTATTATCTGCTTGCTAGCCAGGACAACCACACTGAGTAGTTGAGATGGTGACCTCAAACTTCAGCACACATTTTTTGACTCAGGAGGCAGTGGCTCACCTTTTTTATTTGTTACGTAGTAGTGTATAGGGTAGATCTATCATGAGTGACTCAGCTCCTTTCATCTCTGGGTTAATTCCCCTTTGAATACAGCTCAGGTGGTCATAGTAGAGTCCAGAGGAGACAGACCTGCTTGCTTGAGTCCTCTGCCATGTTCCAGGTCTTTTTCAAGGGTGAAAGCTGGTTCCGTTTCCTTTGAACCTACGTAAGCCTTTCCTTTCTCTTTCTAGCTGAGCTCCTCGCCAAAAAACAGCCATTAAAGACCAGTGAGGTCTACTCTGACGATGAGGAGGAAGAAGAGGATGATAAGTCTAGCGAAAAGTCGGACCGTTCGTCTCGAACATCTTCCTCCGACGAGGAAGAGGAGTAAGCCGTGTACACTTTGGTCTGGTAGGCGGGCTGGGTGGTCTGCAGAAGCAGCTCAGTGGGGAGTCTAGTCTCCCTATCTGGGCCTCGGGCCACAGTTTGGCTCAGTACCTGAATCACTGAACCGAGTCTACCAGCACATCTACCCCATTTATTTCTTATGCCTCTGGCTCCCAGCCTGTGTCCCTGGACATTTCCCTTGGGCTCGGCAGGTGGGACACGACTTCCGGTTGCCTGAGATTGGCCTGGAGCTTCTTTTAGTGCTGTGGCTCTGCTCGGCCGCCTTCTTCCAGACAGTTGACACGGCCGGTTGGGGATGGGTCTGTCGCGGCCCTTCCCTGGGGCTTCATTACTCCCCCTCCCAGGTGAGCTGGGTTGGAGCTCGGAGTGGCTGGCGGTGTCTCTCCCCATCTCATATTTTTTTTCTGTGATGAGCGCTTTTCTCACTGTCCTTTGCTCTTCATAGGAAAGAAGAAATCCCTCCAAAATCACAGCCAGTCTCCCTACCAGAAGAATTGAATCGGGTCCGATTATCCCGGCACAAACTGGAGCGTTGGTGTCACATGCCCTTCTTTGCTAAAACTGTCACAGGCTGCTTCGTACGGATTGGCATCGGAAACCACAACAGCAAACCTGTGTACCGGGTGGGTGTCTCCTTACTGGCACAGGTGTCCGTGTTTTTATTTGAATCCTCAGCCTGGATTCAAAGCTATTGAACAGCTCTGGGAAACGGGCCCTGGTCACAGTGCCTGTAGAACAGTGGCAGTGTGAAGCAAAGGGGATTGTGGGGATCGCACAAGGCCTGCCTGTCGGAGAAGTACTGGGCTACCAAATAAGGGAGAAGGGAGACATTTAGGAAGTATTTGTGGGCAGCTACATAACGTTCCTTTGGACAATAAGTGGGTGAAAATTTTCACTGTTCCTTCCTAAGTGACTTTTAGACCAGGGAGCTGTCGTGAAGTTGACAAAGGCTACAGAAATACACAAAGCAGCCACCTGCTGCGGTTACTGTGCAGGCGCTGGCAATGCTTCTGTGATCAGGGCAGCTGGAACAGGGCTGCTTTCTTTTTTGTTTCCTTTTCTTTTTAAATGTTTTATATTTGTTTTGTTCTAGATTGGGCTTTTTGCTTATTGTGTGTTTCGAAAAAGATTATTTGATAGTCCACACTCCAGTTGAACTTCAGCATTTCTATTAATAAAGTCTTAAAGCTTATAAGCTTGATTCAGTGCTCAGTGGGAGCAGCATTTAGCTGGAAGAACTTCCTGTAGGGTGAGGTGGCACTTCCAAAGCCACGTCAGTTCTAAGGGAAGATGGAAGCGACAGAGGACAGTGAAAGGCAAAGGAGCCCAGCCCATGTGTGCTGCATCAGCTCAGGTGATTACTGAGAAAGAGCATGTGACTTGGCACAGAATGAAGCAAAACTTTTACATACAAAAAAAGGGGGGGAAATTTCATTTATTTGAATAAAGCCAGCATTAGAGAGAGAGAGAGAGAGAAAGCAACCTTTCACTGATTTGCTCCCTAGGTGGGCGCAATGTCCAGGGCTGGGCCAGGCCAAAGCCAAGAGCTTCTTCCAGGTCTCCCATGTGGGTACTGGGCCCAAACATTTGGGCCATCTTTTTGCTACTTTTCCTAGGCCATTAGGGAACAGGACAGAAAGTGGAACAGCCGGGACTCAAGCCAGCACTTACATAGGATGCTGACCAGGTGACAGCTTTATCCATTATACCATAATGCCAGCCCCTGGCTTGTCTGGTTTTAACATCTCTCTGTCTGAGGGCACATTCCAGAGATCTTAGCAACACACGCTGACTGTGTCTTCACACCTGGGTGATCAGGGTTTCATCTCTGAAATCCCAAGTCCACTCCCCCATTGTTAGCAGAAGGGAAAGCTTCTTAGGGGCTCCACCCTCCCCAAATCCTTACCCTTAGTTACCCTGCCCTGAGGCTCCCTGTACCTTTTCAATTCTATACCTGAAAGGTGCCCAGAGTCTCCTGACAGCCCTGCACGCCTCTCAGTACAGGGTCATCTGTGTGTTCAGGCAGGTATGCAAGGATGATTAAAGAAAGAGTGGTGTGCTTTCCTATAGCCCTTGAACCTTTGTGCCCTAATTAACCATGTAAATATTGTCAAAAAAAAAAAAAAGAGTGGTGTGGAAAGTGCTGGAAGAATTTGTCCCTAATAGGTCTCTGTCCTGTCACTTAGGTCGCTGAGATCACTGGCGTTGTGGAAACTGCCAAAGTTTACCAGCTTGGTGGCACCAGGACAAACAAAGGGCTACAACTACGGTGAGAGTCGCTTCCTGGCAGCTTCGCCTTTCGCCTCAAATGCAGGCTGCTGGAGGAGGCTGGTGTTGTGTGTTTGCCTGGGGGAAACTAGGACATTCTCTCCCCCCAGGGGAGTCAGAGATGCCAGGTATTGGGTGCGAGCTGCAAGCCCATCCATGAGGAGCTGCCTTCCCTCCTTGCTATGTCATTGAAGTCACTTCAACCCTGATGAGTTGGATCATGTCTCTGGACTTAGTTCTCTTTTGTTTTTCCTTCCTTTTTAGAGATTTATATATCTGTTTGAAAGAGTCACCAAGAGATCTTCCACCTCTGGTTTACTCCCCACATGGCTGCAGTAGCTAACACTGGGCCAGACTGAAGCTAGGAGCTTCATCCTAGTCTCCTACATGGATGGCAGGGGCCAAGTACTTGGGTCATCTGTTTTTCCCAGGCAGCCAACTGGGAGTTGGGTTGGATGTGGTACAGCTAGGACACTAATTGGTTCCCAAATAGGATGCTGGTCATAGCACCTTTAACCACTGTGTCACAGCACTGGCCCCTGACTTAGTCTTCTCGTTAGTAAAATGGAAATGTCTTCTCAGCAAATATTTGCTGAAAGTCTGCTGTGCACCCAGCGCTGTTGTAGGCATCAGGAAAAGGGAGAGAACAAAACAAATGCAATACAATCCCTGTCCTCTTGTAGCTTGGGGGTTCTCAAGAGCCCATGTAGGAAGAAGTAACAGGCCAGGCTCACACAGCATGGTCACAGTTCTCCCTCTCCCACAGCCTGATTGGATCTCCATGTCCCCATCTAACATCCCCACACCATCCTAGAGCCACCCAGTGTGGGGAGTGTGGCTGTGACAAACACAGTTCCCAGGAGAATGGCACCAAACTTCACTACCATAACAGTAGGAGGCACGGTGATCTTCTCTAGGGAGTTGTTTGCTCATCATTCAGACCCTTGCCTAGTACTGGAAATCCTTGCTATTGCTTGGCCATGCTGGAGTGTCCTGTGAACTGAGTTTCCTTTGGAAGCACTGACTTGGTCCATTTGGTTCCAGCAGCAGCTTTGTGATTCTCCATCCAAGTGGCCTATTGCTTTATTTTTATTTCACTGCCTGTTTCTTCTCTTAGAGATTCTGATCCTATTGGCCTGGAATGGTGCTTTAGCGTTAGAATATAAATGTTTCTAGATAATTAATTCCAAAGGGTAGTCTGGCTTAGTAACCACAGAGAGAGGGAGATGGGATCCGGTCAGGTTGGTGTTGTCATGTACATTCTTAGACATGCTGACTCTTCCTTAGGCATGGCAATGACCAACGAGTGTTTCGCCTAGAATTTGTCTCAAACCAGGAATTCACTGAAAGCGAGTTCATGAAATGGAAAGAGGCGGTGAGTGGCTGGAGACAACCAGCATGTGTCCACAAGCCTTGAGGGGGAAGGTGCTTCCAGACTCCTTACTAATAACCTTTCATCATGTTTTCTCCAGATGTTCTCTGCCGGCATGCAATTGCCCACTCTAGATGAAATCAATAAAAAGGAATTATCTATTAAAGAAGCTCTGAATTATAAATTCAATGATCAGGACATTGAAGAGGTAAGACAGCTGGTCCCCCAGCGCCTGGGGCTTATCAAGAACAAGTGTTAGAAAAAATCGTGATTTCCTGTGTCCCTGTATCTTGATATTTTTAGCTGCACAGGAAGATGAGGGAGTACAGACATCACTGCCGTGTAACTTTGAATTGATCAGCTTTTCTCTGGGCATTCTTATCTACAGATTAGATTTCCTGGACTCAAGTGCCTTCAAGGCTCCAGGATGTGTGTGCCTCTTTATCCCAACATTTTCATCTGTGTTCCAGGCTGGTGGCTAGCCTTGCAGTGCCTGGCCCTCAGACTGCTGCCACTGATGGGCACTGACTCCCTCACAATGGTGCAGAGTTGATGCATGTCCCGGGAAGCACCATCCTGTTCCTTCGTGTGTGCCTGCCTCCTCCCTGGGGACATGGCACTGCTGTGGGCAGAGCAGCCCCTTGAGCCAGCTGGCTGCCTTCAGAAGGGGCTCACCACATGACCCGTGGGCACAAGTGGTAGAGCATATACTCACTGCTGGTGTCTCCTCTCTGGTGCAGATTGTTAAAGAGAAAGAAAGGTTCAGAAAAGCTCCTCCCAACTATGCTATGAAGAAGACACAGCTGTTGAAGGAAAAGGTGAGACCCTGGACTCAAGCCTCGCCCTGCCTGAGGCTATGCAAAGGCATACACTTCCCTCCCTGCCGAGGCACTGCAGGCCCTTGGAAGCAAGCTGGAGGCAGCAGAGTTGTTCTTGGCCCTTTTCCTGCTAGAGCAAAAAGGCCCCTGTTGATCCCATCCTCCTTTCTTTCATGTTAGTATCATTTGCAATAAGGTTGGCCCCAAGCCAATATGAGCAGACCAGAAGGACTGGCCGGCCATGGTGGCTGGTGGATTTCCATTTCTTCACATTAAAAGGATGGGGCAAGTCTTATGATAGGGGCTTAGCTATCTGGACTCTGACTTCTTAAGGGTATGGGTGGGTGTCACTCCACTAGGGACCCAGAGTCAGGTACCCATATGGAAGGTATTACTACTGTAATGAAAATTTTATCTCATATTCGTAAAGTACTGCTTCTATTTTTGCACATTTGCTATTGCTTGTTCATCACATGAGCATGTCTTGCCTGTGCTGGAAGACAGGAGAATTTATAGCGAGCCGGTTGTCTCCAAGAGCTGACACATCTCTCTGTATGCAGGCCATGGCTGAGGACCTAGGGGATCAGGACAAAGCCAAACAGATTCAAGACCAGCTGAATGAACTAGAGGAGCGAGCAGAGGCCTTGGACCGCCAGAGAACCAAGAACATATCTGCCATCAGGTAAACACTGCCTATTTTGGTTGGCTCCCTGTCCTCAGCCCCTGGATCTTGGGCAACACCAGTAGGCAAGCCTGTGACCTTGACCCACTGTGCTGTCCTGATCCCACAGATCTCCGGGATCGGACTGAACAGCTCCTTTCCTCCTTTTATAGCCCACTGACTCATACTCTTACTCACCCCACAGTTATATCAACCAGCGCAACCGGGAGTGGAACATTGTGGAGTCAGAGAAGGCCCTGGTGGTGAGTAGGACCACTTGTATGCTTAGCATACACACCCTCTGTGTGCAGATATGCATGCTTGTATTTTCTATTTTATTTAAATTTTTATTGATTTGAAAAACTAAGACAAAGGTCTTCTACCTGCTGGTTCACTCCCAGAATTCCTACAAGTTAGGCCAAGTAATTCAATCTGCTTTTGCCATACAGGGACTTGTGTACTTAAACCACCACCTGTTGCCTCCAAGGCTGGGACTTCAGTACAGGCACTGTGATGTGGGATGTGGGCGTCCTAAGAGGTTTCTTGACTGCTGTACCACCACCGCTCCAGATTTCTTAATTTATAGTAAAACATCTTCTCTCTTGTCTTACTCTCCCCACCTTTGGATGCTACTCCACAGAAATTATTTTTTTGATTTCTGGTGTTTGATCGTTGCATTGGTAAATCTTGAAGGGAAGAGGATAACAGGGATGACGTTGTGGGGCAGCAGGTTGCACTGCCACCAGCATCTCATATTGTAGTACCAGTTCAAGTTCTGGCTGCTTCACTTGCAGTACAGCTCCCTGCTAATGAGCCTAGGAAAGCACCAGAAGATGGCCCAAGTGCCAGAGCCCCTGCACTTACATGGGAAATGCAGGTAGAATTCTGGCTCCTGGTTCCAGACTGAGTACCTCCAACCATTGCAGCCATTTAGGGGAGTTGAACAAGTAGTTAAATGTCTCTTTCTCATTCTCTCTGTCTCTATAGCTCAGCCTTCCAGATAAATGCAAGAAAAAAAAAGACAAGAAACAGCTTTTGCTTGTTTGCAGTTCCTTGCAAAGACTTAATTTGTATGCAGACCCACGGTGGGTGAGAGGAGGGAGGCAGATTCTGTTCTGTAACGCTGCTCTGTGTCGCAGGCGGAAAGTCACAACATGAAGAACCAGCAGATGGACCCCTTCACCCGGCGGCAGTGCAAGCCTACCATCGTCTCCAACGTGAGCGCCTGAGGACGTTGGTAGTGGGGACCCAGATTCTAGGACAGACAGTGAATTCCATTAGGAAATTAATAAAGAAGTTAAAAATAATATCTTCTTGGCTGGGATTTGCTCTCCTCAAGCTCCTGGGTCTGGACATTTCCTTTTTTTATCTTGCTATAGGGCATATAGGCAGTGAGAACTGGTATGGATCTGTATCAGCCTGGCAATTAACTCCTTATGCCACAGGCTTGAACACGGGCTGAAAAATCCCTTATCCAAAATGCTTGGGGCCAGAAATGTTTCAGCTTTCACTTTTTTTTTTTTTTTTTAATAATATATGCATGTTGACATAGACTTCTTGGCAGTGAGGCCCAACTCTAAGCACAAGATTCATGTGTATTTCATAATGCCCTCACATACACAGGCTGACAGCAGTTCTATAACAGAATCTGCTGAATGCTTACATACAGCTGTGACCCATCACATGAAATCAGGTGGAGAATTTACCTCTTGTGGCGAAATGGCAGTAATCCAAAGTTCGGGATGAGAATGGACACTTGGTGGGCATGCCTACACTCCACCTGGGCTTGTGCCCCTGCTCCAACCCCAGGCTCCTCCTAGTATGCATGCAGGGGTCAGAAGTGATGGCTCCAGTCTCCAGTGGTTGGAGGCCCAACATTGGTGACCACTTGAAGAGGAGACTGGTGGATTTGAGCTCGCTCTCTTTCTTTCTCTCACTCTGCTCGCTCTGTTTCTGTCACTCTACATTTCACATAGATGAAAGCATATGGATTTTGTTTTGTTTTTTAATGGCCTTCTGGATGTCTAGTGTGTAATACATTACTTAGGTAGGGCCTGGCTGGACAGGGTTTTCCTGTTAAAGCATCTACTTGCCCTTTTTCACTCCCTTGAGGAAACCCCACTGAACTGCTTTGGGGCCCCCCATGGTGCTTGTGAGGGTGGTGGAGGCAATGAGCTCAGTAAGCAACAGTCTCTAAAGTAGCTTATTTCTTCTCTCAGTCCAGAGACCCTGCTGTTCAAGCTGCCATCTTGGCCCAGCTGAATGCAAAATATGGTTCTGGAGTGTTACCCGACGCCCCCAAGGAAATGAGCAAGGCGAGTACCTCCCCCACTTTCACCTCTGCAGGCTGTTGAGCAGGCCACCTGCTCATTGGAGCAAGCACCTTGCCTAGTTTGGCCTTGATCTTCCTGCTTGCCCATTGTTTACAAACGGGACCAGGGGCTGTGGAGTTTGGATCAGTCGACCTGAATTCTAACCTGTCACCCCCACACACTGGGGTCTGGGTCTTTAGGAAATTGATTAGCAGATGTTGGCACCGTGTTCTGCAAAATGCAGAAGATGCCCTCCCTGCCACCCAGCATAACTGTGTGTGCCCACCAGGCAGTTGCTGAAGTGATTAAGGCAAACCATGAAAACTGCCTGTTTAAAATCAAATGTCTGCCTGAGAGGTCTTTTCCCAGGGAACCTAAACTGTTCCAGGAATTGGTAAAATCTCGGGTTGGATGGAGGCTGTGGCCTTAGGCCCTCCTTCCTATTCTCATACCCTGGCCCTGAGCATTCCTGCTCTTCAGTGCTTGGAAGACCAAAAAGGCTTCCAGAAGGAACGCTGATGGCCTTGGCTCTCCTTGCTCTCTCGCAGAGACACCGGGAGCCTCTGCAGAGGGCCAGCTGGAACCGAGCTGAGACCGCTTGCACCTGCTGCCACTGGAAGCTCGCCTGCACGTGGGTGCTTATCTTTCACTATCCTCATGTTGCAGGGCCAGGGGAAGGATAAAGATTTGAATTCAAAATCAGCCAGCGACCTCTCAGAAGATCTGTTCAAAGTACATGATTTTGATGTGAAGATTGATTTGCAAGTTCCCAGCTCAGGTATGCCAGGGCTGGGAGCAGAGACAATGTGTTTTTGGCCAACAGGGAGGCCAGATTTTAGGGAAGAACAGAGTGTCAGTTCATGAGTGTCTCTAGGGCCCAGGTTGTGGGCATCACGAGACGAGACAGGGTGCACCAGCGAGGCTGGCAAAGGAGGAAAGGCGTGGGCAGGTACTCCAGCTGCCAATCTGCTATTCTTTCCCACAGAGTCAAAGGCTTTGGCCATCACCTCCAAGGCCCCGCCAGCCAAGGATGGTGCTCCCAGGAGATCACTGAACTTGGAAGACTACAAAAAACGACGGGGGCTTATCTGAGCGTGCCCAGCCTACTGCCTCCAACCCTGCATGTCCCATCTCCACGGCCCTCCTTTCCCTTTTCCTTTGTTTTGCCCCCTTTGGGCTGGAGCAGCAGTGAAACTGGGAAGAGACTCTAAACTGCCAGTCATTTGTAATATAAACGTTCGCTGTATAGACTTCTTTGTCCGCACCATCTCCCACCGCCCCGGACCCTTCCCAGTGTACCCTTGGGCTCTCTGGAGCTTTTTCCATGACTTTAGATTTGTGTTTGCTTTTTTTCTTTTCTTCCCCCTCTCCGCCCCCATTTTTGTTTTTGTTTTTGTTTTTGTTTTAAGCCAGCAGAGTTCACTGGCCTCCCTGCACACGTTCAGTATTAACCACGGAGCTGGGAGTCTCCTGGAGCCTATGGAGGCCAGAGCAGCAGCACTGGGCAGTCTCTTCTGCCTTGGACCTATCCATTCAGCATGTGGCACCTGACCCTTGTGGAGCGCGCAGGGATCAGGCACCTGCGGTCCTCCCACCTCTCTCCTCACCTTTCCCTCCTTCCCATCACTGTGGAAGAAGGGTCTTCAAAACCAATTTAGTTTCCAAAAAGTGTACATTTGTGGGGAGGGAGGGGTCTAATTTGAGTGAGAGAGAGAGAGAGAGTGTGTGTATGTGTGTGTATGTGTGTGTAGGTGTGTGGATTTTTTTATCATTTTTTAAAATGCAGTACTCTTTGTATCAGTCTGTCATGGGTCTATAGCTGTTTCAGATTTTTTTCAGCTGTACTTGAGCATCTGAAACTGCAAGAAAGAAATTCATTAAATGTGATTCTTCTTACTAAACAGGCCTGACTGCTGTAGCTGTGTAACTTCCACTCTCCCCTCCACCCCACCCTGTCACCACCCCCTCAGAATTTGCCCCAGTTAGTCCCCTGCCCTGCAGGCTGTGTCCCAGCAGATGGGAGGGAAGCCTATGGCCACGGACCTGGGAGGGCAGAGGAGGAGTCTTGCTTATCCCATGGGCTCAGCCCATAGCTTTGTAGCTGAACAGTGTGTTATTTTTTCCCCCCACTTACCTTACCTATCTTCCTAGTTGTTCTTTTTGGCTGCTTGGCAAGATTGACATTCTGTTTTGTTTTTAAGAGAAATTCTTCAACAGGAACGTGGAGAGCGAACACATAAAGCTTTAGGTTGCAGGTGTTCCCAGCATGAGCAGTTTGCAAGTGTGTGTACACAGAGATGTGGGGAGCGTGTGTGTTGTTGGGCAGCCAGGGTGAAGCCAGAAGAGGTGTGTATGTCTTTATGAAATGTTTGAAAAGAGATAAGCTGACTGCTTGATAATCATTCTCAGGTGTAAAGCTCCAACTGTAAATAAAAGTGGCATTTAACAAATCTTTCCAGAACAAAGTCCAGCTGGCTATATATGTATATATATATGGCATATACACACACATGCACACACACAGAGCAAGAACAAAGCTGAAGAGACTGCTGAGGGCTGCTGATTCCCACGAGAGGGACAGGAATCCAGAAGCCGGGCTCGTCACTTCTGCACCCTACTTTTGTATAAAGAGGGATGGGGGATGATGGGAAATCATGGAATTAATTTGTATTTAAACATGAAAATGAACTTAGTAACTCTTCCAGGTTGAACAGCCTAGGCATTGCTTTAACTTAGTTTACATTTTCTTAATTTTGAAAACAGTAATGGACAGATTTAAAGAAGTATTATGACTATGTCAAGTTGATAAATACAACTGTAACACAGCTAGTGGTGGCTGTGGCACGGTTCGGTTGGACAAAGGAATGGTAATGGACTCATTAAAATCGTGTGTACTTGAAGAGTCCATTGACCAAAACTCTTTACAGAGCATTGTGTATATGTGGAATCTCAGACTGGTAAATACTTCCAGGCTCCCCCAGCCATTCCTGGAGCTGCCAGGACCTCTCTTTCTCATGATGAACTCAGACTTTTTTTTCCTTTCTGGTTTCAAAGGACGTAAAATGATAGTCTATATCATTTGCTGCAATCCCTCTGACCCATTGTGTAGATCTGTATTTAGTATCATTTGGATTTGGAGACATGTCAATGACATTATGGCTGTGTAATAAAATTTTTATTCAAACTGCATCACCCTGTAGCCACTTTGCCACTACCTCCCGAAACACACCTGCTGAGAGCTTCATTCTGAGATGCCAAAGCACAGAGCAGGGAGAAAAGCCCCCCAAAGACGATGGAGAGGCACCTTAGCCGCTGCACAGCCCGCCGGCAGCTTGCTTCCACACGGAGGCCTTGTCTCCTGTCGTTGCCAGGGCTGTGCCTCTGCACCAAGACCATGCCAGGCACCAGACACTGCCTGCAGCCCACCGTCTCACCTTTGTGGTGGCCCACAGTCTTCCCTAATCCCTTCACCAGCTCTAACATGGTTTTGGTGTTGAAGGGGCCACACCCACACCTGCTGTGTGAAGTATTCAGGCCTGTCTGTGCTGCTGCTGATGGGCACAGGGGCGTCTGGGGCCTGCACCTTCCCTCCAAAAAGAATGCTATGTTTTGTTTGTTTCTGTGAGGTCCTGACTTGTCACTCATACTGTACAGATATTTGTAAATAAATGATATCATTTTAATACGGGGTCAGTGGAGTGCAAGCATTGTGTGCTAGATGGCTGCTCCTGGAGCTGTGCTTTTGGTAACCAGGGGAGCCTCCCTACTCCTACTTCCCTTCTTCCCCTCCTGCCAGCCCTGCACCCCAAAATGTGAGAGTGGCTGTCACCACTTTCCCACAGCCTGGTTTTCCAGGAGCCCATTAGTTAGGGTCATTGCCTGCACCCAGCATATCTTCCATGGTTGTTGTTTGCTTCCTATCTAGAAGAGGTCACCAAGCTTTTAACAGAACTAGGTGGACTTTTCTAAGGGCCTGAGCCTAACTCCTGGAATGTGTGTCATGCGGGAGAAGGGGAAGCCTGGGGCTGTTAAGTCAGGCTCCAAAGGAACCCTTAATTCCCAACCCTCTCTCCCTGAGTTGGGCAGATGTGCAAATGCCCGAAGCTGTCTCAACTGCCATCTGAATCTGGAAGTGAGATCTTGCAGCATCCACCTCATCAGACGGAGGTGTGCCCAGGGACTGGCTACAAGTGTCCTCAATAAGGTTGTCCCCAGCCTCCTGTGGCCATGTGGCCCTTCTAGGAAGGAGAGGTAACCTCCAGTGCAGGTGGAGGGAGGTGGGGTGCTGTGATGATCAACTCCGTCTCCCAGTGTTTTCCAGGACAACTCCTTTCCTATGGGTGGCACCCAAGTTTGGTTTTTCACTTGATTTCCCAGACCAAAGGTAGCCACTGAGTCCCCAAGGCTGCAGGGAAGGGCAGCTTGCTGCCTCTGTAGCTTCCCAAGCTGTCCCAGGACCTCTGGCTGGAACCAGGAAATGGGACTTTGTGGTGTAGACTGCTAGGTCAGCCATTGCAGCATGCAACAGCTCAGGTTTCCAGTTTGTGCTGCAGTCTGGAGGTAGACCAGTAAGCCAAGATACTTGAAATAGTTTTCAGTGCAGCTAAGCTTGGGCTAATTAACTCTGAACTCCCTTAAAATAAAAGGCATCATCATCACACACCAAGATCCTGTATTACTGATTTCAGTAGGGGCTCAAGAACTGCTGCTGTGGTGGGAAAAGTGACTACATTTGGGAGAGAAGCTTTTGGGGTAGCATGGCTCAGGGCGGACCCCGAGGGACGCACAGCTACAGGAAGAATCCTCACAGGTGTGAAGCTGTCAGCACCACCACCTCCAAAGTTCTAAAACCTCTGACAGCCCTGCTTTGCAAGGCTCCTGCAGACATCCGAGCCCAGAATGCCCCAGTTCATCTTCAGCGACTTTCCCAGTGCTCAACTTCCTCCTCTCAGAAGCCTTGTCGACCGCCCCCTCCCAATGCCGGTCTGGGTGCACCCCCACCAGCTCCGCATGGCGCGTCCCTTCCCACGCTGTACCCCTAGCCTGGGATTTACTGTGCCCATGGCATTTCCCTTCATACCCCAGCACCCGGTGCCGCCTGGCGCTTGGGTAACACCCACGAAACGCCGTGGAGGGAGGGAAAGGAGGAACCGAACAGACGGCCCTCCCGGGCCCCAACTTCTGGTGCATTCCCACCCGCAGTCCTCACCCATCCGGTGCCCAAACCCGCACCCCGCTGCACAGCCTGGGATGGAGGACACTCCGCGCCATCACCGACTTGTACGACGCGCCGCGCCGTGGCACAGACTCCTGGCCCTAACTGCCACCGGACGCTCTGCACCAGGCTCCGCGAATGGGATTAGGCAGAGAAGGTGCGTGGAGCAGCAGGAGGTAGGATGGTGACGGCATCCGGGAGTATCTTAGACAGCAGCTCTTGCTCTTCCAGCCCGGGCCCACTGCCCGACCTCCACCTTCCCCTCTGGGAGCGACGCTGTGGCCGGAAGCCCTGGCTCTGGAGTGTCCCGGGGGATTCTGGCCTCCTGGACACTCTCAGGCAGAAACACATTTAGTTCCTTTGAAATGAGAGTGTGGAGGGCCAGCCAAGAACCTCGCAGGTACAACTCTTATCCATTCCAGAACATTCCCCTGAGTCAGGCCTGTGTCGGATGGCACAGAGGAGAAACCCAGATGAGGAAGGTGGTGGTGTTGGGGCTGAGTCCCAGGTGCCAAGCACACACAGTTTTCACTCTTCTGGGCACCACCCCATCCTGGCTCAGGCCAGTGCCCTGTCTCCCAGGCCCCAGGTAGAAAAGAGCGCCAGAGAGGATTTGGGATGCACCAGGCAGCTAAGGGACCAGGATCCCAGGGCCTTAGAAAGATCCTATTATTGGGTTAACACCCCTGGGGTAGCAAGCTAAGCCTGTGCCAGCCTGTGGTGCCAGTGCTGGTTTGAGTCCCAGATGCCCCACTTCCTATCCAGCTTCCTGCTTGTGGCTTGGGAAGGCAGTCAAGGACAGCCCAAAGCCATGGGACCCTGCACCTGCATGGAAGACCTGGAAAAAGCTCCTGGCCTCAGATCGAGTCAGCTCCAGCTGTTGCAGACACTTGGGGAGTGAATCATCAAATGGAAGATCTTTCTCTCTCTGACTTGCCAATTTAAAAAAGAACAAGAATGAGACCAAGGATTGCACGGACCCCAGCAATGGGACAGTCCAATCAGCCCCTTTCCCCCTTTCCCTCCAGGCTGTTATGTGCACTTGGGAGCACGGGGGAGACTCCCAGTTAGCCTCAGGGAGCCAAAACTGGCCCTGGTGGGTCCGGTGAATAGTGGTTCTGGCTGTCCACAAGTTTACAACCTTCTGCCTCCAAATTGCTCTCATTTCTGCTGCATCCCTTTCATCTGACAAGGAGGGGAAATGGTGGGCCTTTGGGAGCAAGTGGCCACCACCTCTGCTTCTGATCCACCTGCCTCCTATGCCTGGGCTGGGAAGCCTCAGGGGAGGCCTTAATGACTGGAGTCTCCCGCCGATGGACCCAGGAGCCCTGTTGGAGTATAGGCTCCTGGACTCCAAGTGTCCCAGCTCTGGTTGTTGAGGGCATTTGGGGATTGAACCAGCAGATGGAAAATCTATCCTACTAAGCCCTTCCAATACATAAAAGGGCCAATGGAGGCACACAATTCACTTTCCTGGCTTGCCTAGGAGAACATCTATCTAGCCCCTGCACACTGTCCCTCAACCCTGCAGGGACCTAGGGCCACACCTGTTTTCTGCCCAGCTGGAGACAGACTCTGCCTTCCCTGGATTCAAGAGTAAGCTGACAGGTAGACAAATCAGGAACTGAGACAGGCCAGACACACAGCCTTGTCCACTGGGTCTCTTCTGTGTGCTGGCTTCCTGTGACCAGGATAGGGCACATCCAGTGCCCCTTCCCATGCTAAAACTTGACAACATGGGCTCTAGGAACTTGCCCTTCCAAAGGAACACCTGGTGGACAGTCGGGGGCAGCCGGTGATCCTGGGGGCACCCTGGACCCCAGGGCTGGACCCAAGAACAAGGACGTATCCATGCCTGTTCTCCCAGCAGTGGAGACAGAGACCTGATGGTGATTCTGCTTTGCCTCCTGTGTCACCCATCCAGTGCTCAGGGCCCTGGCACACAGCGCATGCTCACTCCACTCCCCCTTCCCTGCCTTCTTTCCCTGGCTTGGCTTTTCCCACCCTAGGTTTGCCCTCCACAGCACCCACCCCCCACCTGCTTGAGGCAGCACCCCCTCCACTGCCTCCTGCCACAGCCCTCTCAGGAATAGGGTCCCTTCTTCTCCCTCCTCCTGGGCCACCCACCCAGCAGCCTTCATCCTAGTGGGGAGGCCATCTTCCTGTGGCCACCTAGGTTCCAGCAGTGCCAGGCAGCAGGTCCCTGCTGAGGGAGCCCCACTCGCAGCTCAAAGTGGGTTTGGGGTCAGCTGACCACTCCAAACTGCCTCATCTCCCCATCCCAACCCCCAAGTGGCCCAAGGGCTAGAGAGGATCAGATGAAGGGCTGCCTCCCAGTCACAGATTGTGGCGATGTGAGACTGGCACTGCCCACCTACACACTAAACCTCGTTGTGGACGGTCCAGGATTACACATCTTTCCCTTTGTCTTACTCCCGCGGATACTCAGGGAGGTGAAAAGGACCTACTAAAGCCACACCGCAGTTGCCCCCCAGGCCCAACGGTCAGAGGAGGTGGCAGCGGGAGTAGCAACTGTGGCCTGCCCCGAGGCGCAGGCCCCGCCCCCTGACCTTGTAAGTGGGCAGCTCCTCCCCAGACCGGTCTCCCACCTGGGCGCACACCCTGGGGTAGAGCTTCTTTGGGTATTCGTGGACCCCGGCCTGAGAAAGGCCCCTAGCCTGGAAGCCTGGGTTCGCTTTGGACGGTACACGGAGAGGAGTCTAGGGGGACTGGAGGGGGGAGGGCGTGGCAGGGTCGGCGCCTGGGCTAGAATCGCCTGGAGGAATTCCTCGCCTTCCCATACCCAGGGAAGACGGCAAGGCCCTGAGGGCACAGCGGCACCCTGGCCATCTGGAGCTTAGGCGCGAGCGGCCACAGGAGCCAAGCCTGGGTTTGGCGCTCGCGGGGTCCCTCGGCTTCCCTGCCAACCAAGGAATAACCCTGACCCGCCGGGGCCGGGGGAGGCTCGCGCGGTCTCTGAAAGTGAAAGGAGTGGGCGTGGGGGCGCGGCCGAGGCGGGGCCCGGGCGGGAGGCGCACAGGCTCCGCCCCGGGGCAGTCCCAAGCCCGGGGCGCCGAGCGTCTCCAGTCCCCGCCGTGCCGCGGGCTGGTGGGCTCGGCTGCTGCGCCGCTGCCGGGACATGACCCTGCCCGGGGGCCCGGCGGGCATGGCGCGGCCGGGGGGCGCGGGCTCCTGCAGCCCCGGGCTGGAAAGGGTCCCGCGCCGGAGCGTCGGGGAGCTGCGCCTGCTCTTCGAGGCGCGCTGTGCCGCGGTCGCCGCCGCCGCTGCTGCAGGGGATCCCCGGGCCCGCGGGGCCAAGCGGCGTGGGGGACAGGTGCCCAACGGGCTCCCGCGGGCTTCCCCTGCCCCGGTGATCCCGCAGCTGACCGTGACAGCTGAGGAGCCGGACGTACCCCAGGCCAGCCCCGGGCCCCCAGAGCCGGAGGGCGACTGTCTCCCGGCAGGGGACTCGCACCTGCAGCAGCCACGCCGCCTGTCCACTTCGTCACTCTCCTCCACCGGCTCCTCGTCGCTTCTCGAGGACTCGGAGGACGATCTGTTGAGCGACAGTGAAAGCCGGAGCCGCGGCAACGTGCAGCTGGAAACGAGCGAGGACGTGGTTCAGGTACGGGCCGCGGAGGCGGGCCAGCGCGGAGGGAACGGAGCTCGAGCTCGCCGCGGGCCGTTCCCATTGCTGAGGAGGAGCGTGGTGGGGGAGGGTGCAAGACGGTGCGGCCGGCCCCCTGCCCCAGCAGTTTTCACCTGGGCTCCTCAGGTTCCTAGCGGGTCCCCGGGGCGAAGACGAAGCGAGAGCGCCCCGTGCGCGCCCAGGATCAGTGCAATGAGTGAGGGGCGCTCCCGACGGCCCGGAGGGAGGATTATTGGGACCAGAGGCACCTTCACCTTGAGGGGGAATCCTCGGGGAGAGAGAAAGGCGAGCGACCGATTCCCTCCCGCCCGCCCCCTCTGCTGTGCCACGGCCCTACCCCCGCCGTTGCCACGGTTTCCCTCTCTTGAGTGGGAGTGGAGCGGCGCGCTCCAGGCTCCGCTCGGGAGCCGCTGCCGTCTGCTCCCGGCGCCCGCACGAGGCGTGGACGCAAGGGCAGGCAGGCGCGCGGGGCTGGGCGCTGAGGCAAGGCTGGGAGACGAAAGTAGCCCACCCGGGGCGTACCTGAAACTCGCCTGGCCTGGGTGGGATAAAGTAAACTGAGGCAAACAGGGCAGGCAAGGGGCAGGATCTGCCTGCTAGTCTCCTCCTCTGGACGCCTGGGTGCTCTAGGGGCCGAATCGGACCCTCAGCTCAGGCGGGGGTGCGGTGAACAAGTGTTTCCCGGTTCCCTCCCAAGACAGCCTCTTGGTCCCCCTGGTTTTAACCAAGGCCAAATACTTTAAATAACTGCCCGCAGTCAGCGCGAAGGAGTTGCTCTAGATCCACGTTACGCAAGTGTCCCTGGAGCGCAGTGAGAGGCGAGGGGTGCCCCCGGTCTCCGGGCGACCGGACGCTGCGGACAGAGGCCTGGTCACGACTTAGACGCGGCGCGGGGGAAGCAGCGTAACGCCCGGCCCGAGCTCCGCGGCTCGGCGCCCCGCCCCGCTCTCCCCACCCCGCGAATTACAATACCCCGAGGGCGGGGGTGGGGTGGGGAGGTGGTGTAGGTGACAGGAGAGAAAGAAAAAGGAAAAGCTTGCGGGAGCGGGAACAGCCCCCGCCGCCAGGTGCAGGGAGCGGAGGCTCAGTCACGAGCCTGCCGCGTCCCTCTCTCCGCCCCCGGCCCAACCCCGGCTCGTGGTGGTTCCCGAGGTAACCTTGGCTGGTCGACCACCGCTCATGGCTTCCAAGACGCAGGACAGTGCGGACAGCGAAAAGACCCTTGGGAGTTAGAAAGACTTGAGTCCTGGGAGTTGGAAAGACCTGAGCCACTGGTCACCGCTCGGCCACTCAAAGCTCCCACACCTGCGAGCCGGCGCTGCTGAAAGGGCGCGACCTGTGGAGGCGCCGAGGGCGCGGGCACCGCCCCCCCCACTCGCCTCTTCCGCCCGCAGGGGCCCGGGCCAAGCGCCTGGGGGGAGGGACGAGCGAGAAGGAGGTCCCCCGTGGCCTGCGGCCGGGCGCAGTGCCGAAGGTCCCGGCTGGGGACCCAGGTGGGGGCGAGACGGGGGTCAAGGCTGCGCGGACAAGCCGCGGCCGTACCCGGCGCGGCCAGGAGCCGGTGCAGGTGGAAGGGCCGCGGAGGGCGGAGGGCCCTTCCAGCTTCAAGGCTCTGTGATCCAGGCCTTCCCCACCCCCAACCCGCCGGGGCCTCCCCGAAGGCAAACAGCCACGGCGGCAGATAAGCTAGGGGCTGTTGACAAAGTGTTGCCTGCGCCCGCGTGGAACGGCCCGGAGCGGACTTTGCCTCGTGGCCGGCCCCGTAGAGGCACCCTGCACCCGCCCTGGCAGCTTTTAGGGCTTCCCCAGAGAGTAAGCAGAGGCTGGCGGTCTGAGAAGGATGCAACTGCGGGAAGGTGCCGCTGCCGGCAGCGCTTCCTCCCGGGCTAGCCAGTCTTTTCCTTTCAGGCCTGGGAAGACTGAGGCTGGCGCCTCTGTACTGCCCCACTTGCCTCCTAGGAGCGTGACACAACCTGCCCTTAGCTGAGAAGTTGGCCCTGGGCAGACTCCCTCCACCCCTGGGGTGGTGGATTAGGGAATCCCAGGTGAGGGTAGAGGCCACCCCCAAGGGCAGCTGTCAGGACTCCGTTTTTATAAAGCCACCTGCTTAAACACTTGCAACTTGCTATGGTAGTGCAAGTGAGGGTATTTGGTGCCTGGGCACCTGCTTTTCTTCCCTCTGGTCTCCAGGATAGGTAAGGAGACCTGGATGCTGTCCCCTCCTGGACTACGAACTCCTGCACATCACTTTCCACTAATTATAGAGCAGAATTTAGGTTAACAGACTTCCTTTTTAAAAAGCATAGACCCATGGGAAGGTGAAGTCGTGGGTCACTTATACCTTAGTGCAAATCATTTTATAAATTTAAACTGTGTTCACCACCACCACCACCACCGGGAGTGCTAGTTTGATAGGGCAATTGGGACATGGAGGGGGTGTTGGAATGGTAGAGAGCTTCAGACTGGACGAAGGGGGGCCCTGGGAGGGTAGCAGGGATGAGGATCAGACCCGTGACAAAGAGCGGGTCCTGGCTGGAGTTGATGCCTGAGCAGGTGAAGGGAGCTTAGACCAAGGACGGGTTAGGTGAGGGCTTCAAGGGCAAAATTGATTTCCCAGTTTTGCCCCAAGGTGCCCAGTCTCCATCCCTCACCCACCACCCCAGGTGTGCACTGGTATCCCAGGGAGGGCAGCTCGGGCCCCCAGACCTTGGCCACGCCATACACTCGCACATCATAGATCTGCAACATCGACCTGCTAGAATTCTGACATGTGTTCAATAAAAGTTCTACCTGCTCAAAAGGACCTCCCCTCCCATGCCCATGTGCCCTAGTCCCTGTGTGCTTGAGGATTTAGCCCAGCAGCCTTTTGGACATACTGAGCTTGTGAAGTGCCTCCTTCCTGTGGGGGACACAGGAGGGGGAGACGCTCTCTGAGGTTCAAGGGTAGAGTGCCCTGGCTTTTGCAGCCCCTGCTTCCCTGCCTGAGCAGTGTCCCTTTACTGGCAAGAGAGTTGAATCATGTGCAACCTCAAGTGCTGGTGGGAGGGCTTGGAGAGAGGCTGGGCGGGAAAGGCGCTTGGAAACTACAGGGCTAGCAACAGCCTTAGTAGCTGCTTCTCTTACCACAGAACTAAGGTGGGAAGGACGGGATGTGCTCCCTTTCCCTCAGCCTGAGTACAAGCGGATGCTGTGTCACATCTCAATCAAGTAGGAGTGGGCTGCTGCTAACCCTTCCCAGCCCCACGCAGCCCCTGCTCACAGCATCCAGGGATCCCAGGAGGGAAGGTGGGGCTGCCGTCCCCCCCTCCCCCCGGTCTAACCCACAGCCAGTTCTCCCTTCAGCTGGTGTGGCTGCACAGCTGGATGCATCCTCCCACTAAGCCCACTCTCATTCCACTCTTACCCAGATTCTGCCAGCAGGTGCCATGCTGCCTCTGGCCAGCTTTAGAAATGGGCTCGCCTTGCCCCCTCCCCACCATCTTAGAGGTTTCCTTAGCTATCAAAACGCTCACCCCAGGGCTGCCAACCTTGCAAAGCCCACGGTGTGGGGGGCAGGGTTCTTAGGATCTGTCCCATCTGAGTTCCGCATGGACTTGGGAACCTCTTCTGGAGCAATTTGAGAATGGAGGTACAGAGCTGTGCCGGTGGGGGGTTCTGGCTAGGGAGTCATGGAGAGAGGGTGCTGACTACCCGGACTCTGGATTCCCTGGGGAAAAAGTGGGGGTGATAATAGAACTTGGAGCAGAGTGTCTGCTGTGCATGTGCCTCGCCTTCTTGGCATGATTCTCCACCCAGGTGCCGTGCAGGAGCCGGTGCCTGGGGTCTGAGAGGCAGTTACTGAATATACATGGTGCCTACATCATCTTTCTGGAATTTTACTTGGATGTTTGGGGGTGGGGAGTTTTATAATAAAGCTCAGATTTATTATGCAGCAAAATGCAAGCCTTGTATGTATTTAAAGATTTTTTAAAAAGGGAGTTTTGAAAGAGATGACATGCTTCTGGTGGGCTGCTGCTGACGACACCCCCAGATCCCTGGGGAATTGGACATGTGATCACACTTGAGTGTGCCATACAGGGCCTTCCATAGGAAAGCGGCCAGCCACGCTGTGCGGTGGGGGACCAAGGGCCTGGCATACAGCAGGCATGCGGTGCATGCTGGCTTGTGTGAGCACAGCAGCTATGTCCTCCCAGAGCAAACACAACCTGCCTGAGCTTACTGAGCCTAGCCTGAAGGCCTAAAGCTGGCTGCTGATTCCCCACCCAAGTACTCTCAGCGAGCCTGCCCTCCTCCCACCACACAGGTGAGGGCTTTGTGGCCAGTGGCACTTCCCCTCCCCCTCAGCTCTCCTCATTCTTAGAGGGTCAAGGTGGCTGGCTCCGGGTTCCAGGGTGGCTACACTGTGAAAGACACATTCCCTGGGAGGAAACGGCAGACATACAGCCTAGAGGACTGCACTTGTGCACGAGGAGGATTAGACTGCTCAGACTTGGGGTCAGGGGAGGCAGGAAGGCTGTGAGCTCTTTTGAGACCTGGTGTTACCATGAGAAGCAGAGGTCCTGAGATAGAGGAGTAACACCAAAAAGGAAATGAAACTAACCAGCTCTGCCTTTCCTCGCCCCTGTTGTCTGAGAGGATAAGCCTACCCCTCCTTTCCCCACCCGAGGGTTTACATCAGAGCCACATGTGTGCCAGGCTGTGCCCACCCATGTGCAGTGTATAGAATGCAGGGATGGCAAGAACATCCTGGGGAGTGCCAGGCCACTCTCCCCAGGCTGAGCTGGCCTCCTGTATGACCAGCCAGTTTTCTTTTCTTCAGAGGACCTGGAGCAGGCCAAAGCGGGGACTGGGCTACAGTGACTAGCTTGGCCTGCTGAGCAGGGCTGAGAGATGAGGTGCTGCCACACACAGGCCCCCGTGCACTGCCCACAATGGCCTGCAGACATGGCCATTTCCCCATTTTATAGATGAGGAAACTGACACACACAGCCTTGTTTCTCAGGCTGAATGCAAAGTTGTAGCCCCACCCAACCCTGCTCTCAGCTCCCTTGGGAGCCTGCAATTGTCAGGAGGGGCGAACTCAGCCATGACTCACAAGTTCTCGAAGAGCAATCTAGCAAGGTGCCTAGGCCAAGGGAGCACAACGTTTACTAATCACTTCTCTGGGTTTTTGTTTGTTTGTTTTGTTTTAAGATTTATTTTTATTGCAAAGTCAGATATACAGAGAGAAGGAGAGACAGAGAGGAAGATCTTCTGTCGGATGATTCATTCCCCAAGTGGCTGCAATGGCCAGAGCTGCACTGATCCAAAGCCAGGAGACAGGAGCTCTTCCAGGTCTCCTACACCGGTGTAGGGTCCCAAGGCTTTGGGCTGTCCTTGACTGCTTTCCCAAGGCCACAGCAGGGAGCTGGATGGGAAGTGGGGCCACCGGGATGAGGACCAGCACCCATATGGGATCCCACACGTAAGGTGAGGACTTAGAGTTGCTCGGTTATTGTGCTGGGCCCTACTTCTCTGTTTTAAGCATTGATTTATTTTTATTTGGAAGACCGAGTTACAGAGAGGAGAGACAGAGTCTTTCATCTGCTGGTTCATTCTCCGAATGGCCACAATGGCTTGGGCTTGTCCATGCAGCAAGCCAGGATCCCAGAGCTTCTTCAGGATCTCCCTTGTGGGTGCAGGCTCCCCAGGCTTTGGGCCATCCTCTGCTGCTTTCCCAGGCCACAAGCAGGGAGCTGGATCGAAAATGGGGCAGCTGTCACTCATAGAGGCTGTCGGAGCTGCTTGGCAAGTGGAGGGGTGGCATATTAGCCAATACGTGATACTACTGGTTCTGCAGAATTCGTTTATCTGAAAGGCAGAGAGAGATCTTGCATCCCAAATTCCCACAGTAACCAGGACTGAGCCAAGCCTAGGCCAGGATCCAGGATACTCCATTCACGTCTTTCCTTTGGGTGGTCCTTTTGATTCCCGGGATGCCTCAACAGGGAGCTGGATTGGGGATGTGTCTTAATCCACCGCCGCCTGTAGGCTGTGCAGGTTGCGGGGCAATGGCAAAGCTGGTGCGTTTGAGTTAGAACCTTCGGATGTCAAGGCGTGACGGGGCTCTCCTCAGCACACCTAAGAAGTCTGAATTGCCCCCTCAGGATCCGTGCAAAGGAGTGAATAAAGAAAGGCCTCCATCGGCCCCAGCGGTTTCCGCAGGGGCCAGGCGAGGTGTTTAGAAGAGTAAGGGCTTGTGCCTTCCCCGCGTCATACTAATTTGCAGCCCCATCACCGTGTCGCTTTCAGAAAAGCCACTGGCAGAAGATCCGGACCATGGTGAACTTGCCGGTCATGAGCCCTTTCAAGAGGCGCTACGCCTGGGTGCAGCTGGCGGGACACACGGGTGAGCGTGGCGGCGCGAGGGCGGGGCGTCCGGGACGGGAAGGGGCCGGGCAGCGCTAACCGCGCGCGGGTCCTCAGGGAGCTTCAAGGCGGCGGGCACCAGCGGCCTGATCCTGAAGCGCAGCTCGGAGCCCGAGCGCTCGTGCCTGGCGCGGCTGATGGCCGACGCGCTGCGCGGCTGCGTGCCCACCTTCCACGGCGTGGTGGAGCGCGATGGCGAGAGCTACCTGCAGCTGCAGGACCTGCTGGCGGGCTTCGACGGGCCCTGCGTGCTGGACTGCAAGATGGGCGTCAGGTAGGGTGCCCTGCCGTGCCGAGGGTGGAAGAGGAGGGAGGCGGGTGCCGGGTGCAGTCCTCCATCGGGTCCCTGTGTGCCACCCTCATCCCGCACATAGGACATACTTGGAGGAGGAGCTGACCAAGGCGCGTGAGCGGCCCAAGCTGCGGAAGGACATGTACAAGAAGATGCTGGCGGTGGATCCCGGGGCGCCCACCGAGGAGGAGCACGCGCAGCGCGCCGTCACCAAGCCGCGCTACATGCAGTGGCGGGAAGGCATCAGTTCCAGCACCACGCTGGGCTTCCGCATCGAGGGCATCAAGGTGGGCCTGGCCTTTCCTCGGTGTCCCTCCTCCCCGCCCCCTGGAGGGACTGAGTGTGGGTTCCCTGACTCCTGACGCTTCCCATCCCATCTCGTGTAGAAAGCAGACGGCTCCTGCAGTACCGACTTCAAGACCACGCGAAGCCGGGAGCAGGTGATTCGCGTCTTTGAGGAGTTTGTGCAAGGAGATGCGGAAGTGCTGGTGAGAACCGGAGCCCAGAACCGAGAACGGGGTGGGGAGCCCTGGCCGCGCACCGGTGCACGGCGGCTAGCTGGGACCCTCCTAGCTGGAGGGAGGAATTAACTTGCCCTGCTCTCCCTGTATCTCCTGCAGAGGAGGTATCTGAACCGCCTGCAGCAGATCCGGGACACCCTGGAGGTCTCAGAGTTTTTCAGGAGGCATGAGGTGAGAGACCCCGGGGAGCTACTGTGTGACCTCTGAGGGTAGGATGGGGAGAGGAGGCGGGGCCAGGGCCTCGCAGCCTGACCAGCCACGCGTGGCTCGCAGGTGATTGGCAGTTCACTCCTCTTTGTGCACGACCACTGCCATCGCGCCGGCGTGTGGCTCATCGACTTTGGCAAGACCACGCCCCTCCCTGACGGCCAGATCCTGGACCACCGGCTGCCCTGGGAGGAGGGCAACCGCGAAGACGGCTACTTGCTGGGGCTGGACAATCTCATTAGCATCCTGGCCAGCCTGGCTGAGAGATGAGGCTGGGTCCTTGTCCTCCCGCCTGGGCCAGCCACTGAGACACACTCGGAACTGTGGCAGAGTCCCCAACCATGCATGCCGGACAGAGACTGGAACCCCGCTGTGCGGGGCCCGGTGCACCGCTAAGGGGCGCTTTGCCAACACCAGGGGGTTGGCTCCTTGAAAGAAGCCCTGCTTGTCCAGGGTGGAATGACACTATGACACTAATTTATGGGAAGGGAGGGACAAAGGGCTTCTCCCTCAGCCCAATCCTTCTGAGCAGGCTCTGCCCCTGTCTGGTGCAGCCTGTATAATGCATTTTTCTCCCTAACCCTAGACCTGTGGGTGGAACCTCCCACACTACAATGGACTCCGTGCCCAATAAAAAAAGCCCCAGCTCACTGGCTCCGGCGTGATCCCCTCCCTTCCCTGGTGACCCTCACGCACTCAGATCACTTCAGGGTGCCACAAGGGCCTTTTATTAGAGACACCTGCAGACCTGATGAAGGACCACCCACTCAGACAAGGGGAGGGGAGAGGAGGCTGGAAGTGGTGTTGAGGCTGGCTTCCAGCAGACCCTGGGTCATCCTGAGACTGGCCACAGGGGACACCAGCTGCTGAGGAGATGGGAGGCAGCCCCCTAGAAGCTTGGGTCGGGGTGTAGGAGGAGCGAGGGCTGTGGTCAGCACCCAAGTGACTCAGTCCTCAACCTCCTGCTCCCCGGGAGCCCAGGAGCCATAGGTGGGATTCCAAAGGCTGTGTGGCTGCAGGCCCCGGGATTGGAGGGGTTTGAGGCCAGAGGCCAGCCAGTGGCCAAGAGGCTGCCCTGCCCAGCCTGTCATGTTCTCGGCACCCAGTTCCCGAGGTTGGAGGGGTCTTGGTCCTCCCAGAGGCCCGGGGTCCAGCCCAGGGGCTCCTTCCTCCTCCAGTGTGGGCCCCAGCTCCACGGGCAGAGGTGCATTCAGCACATCGGGGTCCTGTGACGGGGAGGAGAGAGAGATCAGAGAGGTGGTTTACCACTTCTGCCCTATGTCCTAGTGACCTCCTACCCTGAAGGCCAGGACGGGGGAGGAGGACAGGGGCACCTGCATGCAGTACTGAAGCCGCTCCAGGATGCTGGCAAAGCTGGGGCGGAGTGCAGGCTGGTGCTGCCAGCACTGCGTCATGATGCGGTACCTGAAGAAAGGCAGGTGTCGGTGCCCACACACAGCAAGGGCCTCCCACCAGGGCAGTTCTCTTAAACAACAAAAACAAACAAACAAAAAAAAACTCACACGGGTCCCGGACAGCCCCTGGGAGGGTCCATGCGACCTCCTGCCACAACGAAGTCCAGCACCTCCTGGTTGGTACGCCCAGGGTAGGGCATGTACCCTAGGGAGAAGATCTCCCAGAGCAGCACCCCAAAGGACCTGCATCAGAAGTTGGGGTGTGTAGGGGGAGATATCAGTGAGGCCCAGCAGGTGCAGCCCCCTCCCCACACGGGAGATCAGCTAGGGTGTGTTATCACCAGGAGTCTGTCTTGGGAGTGAAGATGCCCTCCAAGAAGGCCTCTGGGGGCATCCACTTGACGGGGAGCAAGGCTCGGCCCCCTTTGCGGTAATAACTGGCCCTGCAGGAGGGAGGAGGATGGCTGTGAGCTCTACAGATCAGGCCAGAGTGCTCCTGGACCTCAGGGAGCAGCAGCCCTTCCCTTTCCCCAAGGCCTGCACCGGTAGATGTCTCTTGCCATCCCGAAGTCCCCAATCTTGGCCACTCGACTGGGCCCAGTACAGCTCAGCAGGCAATTCCGGGCAGCAATGTCCCTGAAGAAAACCCAGAGGAGAGAAAAAAAATCAACCTCCAGCAAGCAGGAGCTGGGGACCTTCCTTGGGTTTCAGGGAAGGGAGCCATGCTGGAGTTCCCCAAGCCAGGGTTGCTCCTCACCTATGGATGAAGTGATTCTCCTCAAGGTAGTGGCAGCCCTGCGCGATGTCCTGGGCCAGCTGCAGCAGGTCCTGCATGACCAGAGGTGACGGCTGGCCCTGAGGAGTCAGCAGAAATGTGAGCCTTGTCTCTCAGGACACGAGGGACAGGCTCTGGAGAGTTGGGGGAAGAGGGGTCTCACCAGGTGTGGCCGGCTGTGCCTCAGGAAACTCTTCATGTCGCCACCGGACATCAGCTCCAGCAGAATGAGGCGTGGGGCAGCTCGCAGGCTGAGGCCCACACAGCGCACAATGTTCCGATGGCTGAACTTGCTGAGTGGGGTGTGCATACACCACATCACCAGTGAGGAAATAAACTAGGCACCCCAAAGCTGCAGAGGGCCTTGGGCTCCCTGTGCTGCTGCCACTCAGCCCACGTGTGGAGGGAAGGACTTCGGCCTCCATCACCACCCACCCCCTCCATGCACCTGATGATGAGCGCCTCCATGAGGAAATCCAGTTCATCCTGACGTGAGCATAGTTCCGGCAGGGTCTGGAAAGAGGAAAGGCACAGTTCCTTGGCTCCCTGGGACTCCTGGGGCAGGCGGCTTGGCATGGGCTCCAGCACCTGCTCTTCCTTCCCTCCCAGGGGCCCTGCTCACCTACCCCCAGCTAGAAAGCACACCTTCCTCTTTCAAACAAATATGCAAACTTGAGGCAGAGACACACCAAGAACCCCAAAATGCTAGCAAAAGCTCCAGCGTGGAGCCAAAGCAAGGAACTGCATCCTCAATCCAGGTCTACCACGAAGGTGGCAGGGTCTCTGCTACTTGAGCCAGTAGTTGCTGCCTCATCAACTCCTGCATGTCAGTGGAGAGCTAGAATTGGGAACTTGGGAGTAGGGGTAGGACTGGTACTCTGCTAATAGGAGGCAGGTATCTAACTACCAGGCCATCCTCCTCAGGCCCCTCTTACCTTGATAGCCACCTGTAGGGGGTTGGAGTCCCCAGGAAGGCCAATTACCAATCCCTCGTATACCTCCCCAAAGGCACCATGGCCCAGGGCTCTGCGGGAAGACAGGGTCAGAGTGGCTGGCCTGCAGACAGGACCTAGAGGTCTGGGCACCTGTTGTCTCTTTGTCCCCCTGGCTCCCTCCTGTGCCCAGCTGATCCTGTCAGAGTATTCTCTGCAACATGGCGTGTCATCAAGTATAAGCTCTGAGAAGGTGCCATTGACACAGAGCCAGGACAGAAGAAAGGACAGTTGTGAGGTCCAAGTCAGTCTGGGAGTACCAGATGGGGCCTTCCCTATGTCCTTGCAGGCACTCCTTGTGGGAGCTAAACCTCAGGCTGTGGAAGAGTCGCACCCTGAGCTCCCTGCCATTCCAGGACTGGGGGCTGAGAGCTGACCTTGAACAACTTCTCTGATCCCATACCACTCCACCCTCTACCGCTATCTCCCACGTAGGGGGCTTGGGGCCAGGTACTATCCCAACTGTGAGATCAGTCCAGCAAGCAGCAGGGTAGGGGGCAATTCCGAGGACAGAGGTTTGCAGAAGGAGGTGGCTGGCTCACCTGAGCAGAGTGACATTGGCTGGGGAGATCTCGGTGAGCCCCGGAGGCAGAGGCCAGGACTGGGCCAGGCCAAGCCCCACTTGGCAGTAATAGGGATTGGGAGCTGTCCTGACGGCAGCCGTTCGGAGCTTGCTCAGCTCGAGCTCAGGGCCTGGCAGCCGCGTCCCCCATAGGCCCTGCCACCTCTTCTGGTTCACTGGGGGCAGGAAGGACAGTGGCATATCATCTCCCTGCCTGTTGGCCCCTTGCCACACATGTCCTTGCCCTAGACACCTCTCCAGATGCCCAGTAAGGTCAATGTGTTTTCCAGGTCCCACCCCTGCTTCTACTCCTAGAAGCCCAGAGGCATCCAGCTCTGCTTTCCTGGGGGCCAGAGGGGGCATTTTAAAGTATAATTTATTATGAGGAAAGCAGAAGGTTTCTTCTGCAAATGCCCACAATAAGCAAGGGCTGGGCCAGGTGGAAACCAGGAAACATGCGTCTCCCATGTGGGTGGCAAGGACTCAAGTCCCGAGTCATCTGCTTCCTTCCAGGATGCTTAGGGACTCACAGCAGGCACTCCCAGATGGGATGCAGGTGGAGGTCTAACTGGCTGCACAACCAGCATCTGCCCCAGAAGGCAGGGCCTTGAAGTCAGTCCCCCTACAGAAGCCCGTTACAATTTGGTGGATGGGGAAAAGGTGGCTTGAGCCAGTCATGCCTGCTGGAAGCTCCATACCTAGAATTAGGACCCCACACACCATGAGGAGGCTCAGGGTCAAGGTCGCCAACACAGCCACCATCAGCACCAGAGGACCCGGGGGTACTGGCAGGTCTGGGGAGAGAGAGACACCTACAGTGGGAGCCCTTCTCTGGGCCTCCACTACCCCAAGTCTCACCTCTGCTTCAAGACTCGGCTCCAGCATGAACGTTTACCTGATCCTGCTCTCAATCAGTCTGCACAAATGCAGCTTCTCCCCACTGCAGAACCCCCAGGCCTCCGCGGGACGAGGCACATGTCTGTTCATCTCGCCTCTCTCCCTGGACACCCCATCCTCCCTGGATAGCATGCGCTGGCCTATACCAAGCCATCCACCCTGCTCCTAGCCCCACGCCTGGCTCACAGTAGGCCCTGTTCCATACTTCCCAGGGCCCTACTGCTCCTCCCAGCCTGTGAGCATCAACCTCGGCAGGACATACCCACACAGGTGATGTTGTCCACCGCCAGCTCCATGCCCTCCGGGCATAAGCACTGGGCCAGCCTGAGCTCAGCCTGCCACCGGCAGTCTCTCACTGGGCAATGGCTGCAGTTGAGGTGTCTTCGGATCTCCACCTCTCCATGGCTCTCCATAACTGTGGGGTGGAGACATGCATGTCCCCAGCCACAAGGCTAATGGGTCTGGCCAGGATTTCGAGGCGGGTGGGGGAACCTGGGGGACTCCTCCCTCTCTGGGAACCGGAGCTCACAGGTACGTGAAGAGAATTTCTAGCAAGGGCACTTAACAAGCTCTCCAGAATGCCTCCTACTGGCATCACAACCACCAGCACACTTTCCAAATGTTTTCACGCCATGCAGGAACCACGTGGGTCACAGGGGAGTGGGCTCGAGTTGGGGGGTGAGTTGGAGTGATGGAAAGAGGCGAGGCCAGGCAGAGAGGTGGAGAGCTGGGCCCAATACCTGCCAGTGGCTGCAGGTAGAGCTCACTGCTGGGGTGTATGAAGGACACCCCATCTTCCCCATCGGCCCAGAGGGCATCAGTCTCTGAAGCGTCACCCCCTGCAGATTGAGAGTGATGGAGAGAAGAGGGGGGGATGGGGTAACCACTGCCTCACATCACCCTGCACCCCCACTGGCCTTATAGCCTAAGTGTCAGCTGCGTACAGGTAGGAGCTGAGGGACTAGAGTGGCAGCGAGGGCGTAGTCATCCGAGGCCGTAGGGCCTGGCACAGGCTGGGCTGGGACATCTCCCGTGGGTCTGAGCCATTGAGTCCCAAGTCCTCAGCTATAAAACACCAGAGGCCTGCCTACACACATTCCATTTCTGGGGACAAAAGTGGCTGATGGGTGGGAAGCTTTTATGGATGGCACAGCCCAGGCACTGGCTCTATTTGTTCACATCAGTGGTTTCCAGGCTCAGGATATTTTGAAAATAAGGTAGAGGATACACCATTCAGGCAGATGGAAGGCGTGGGTTCAAGACAGCTACAGTACAACATGGCCACTAGGGGTACCAATGCATTCTCGAAAACCGTTCAGAGGGTAGGTTTTAAGGGCTGTCCTCCACAAAGCATAACTACTGTGAGGTGGAACCTGTGTTGAATGGCTTGAATTAGCCATTGCACAGTAGATACGTATATTTGAAACATCATACCCTTCACCTTAAGTATATACAACTGCTCATTAAAAATTAAGGCATTGGGCCCAGCATGGTAGCCTAAAGGCTAAAGTCCTTGCTTTGCATGCACCGGGATCCCATGTGGGTGTCAGTTCTAATCCTGGTAGCCCTGCTTCCCATCCAGCTCCCGCTTGTGGCCTGGGAAAGCAGTGGAGAACAGCCCAAAGTCTTGGAACCCTGCACCCATGTGAGAGACCCAGAAGAAGCTCCTGGCTCCTGGATTTGGATCAGTGCAGATCTGGCCATTGTGGCCGTTTGGGGAGTGAATCATTGGACGGAAGATCTTCCTCTTTGTCTTTCCTCTTCTCCATATCTAACTTTGCAATAAAAAAAAAATCTTTAAAAAAAGTAAAATACAGTTTAAAAAATTAAGGCATTGATTTTTTTCTAAAAACAAATGCAAATGCTCAGCCCCTTTCCAACAAACCACCTCTAAGCTGCCCCAGCGCCCCCTGGATGATTCTAATGTGCTCTGCGGTGTGGCAACGAGCTTGTGCCTTGGGCTTCCCTCCACAGCTGCCAACTCACAGGAATGGAATGTGCGGGTTAGGCCTCTCCAATTTTACAGCTGGAAACTGACCTACACCATCCCTGCCTGCTGCCCGCCTCCCAACTCCTCCAGAGCCCACCTGCAGAACAAACCAGGAGTCTCCTTTTCATGAGCGGTCCTGAAATGCAATTCCAGCAAGTGGGGTTTGCAAGCCTAGAAAGCTCCCCCATTCTGGCCTGGAACGGGTTAGAGTGTGGGCCTGTTCTAGGCGTCTAACCTCACTTCTTTTCTAGAGTTGCCCAGCAGCCTCCCCAGTCATGCACCTACCCCGGTAGCCGCCGCCACCTCCTCCTGAGGTGCAGGCCCCGCCGCCGCCGCCAAAGCCGCCAGCTGCGGCCCAGCCGAGCGCAGCCCAGGCTTCGGTGCAGCCCTGGCCACCCTCAGCCCCCTCCCGCAGCGAGCGGCCAGCCTGCAATGAGGCGGCCCGAGAAGTCCAGCCGCCGCCTCCACCTGCAGAAGGACAGCAGGGATGGCTGGCGGTAGCGACGCAGGGGGCACGCCCGCCCGCCTGCCGCGCGCCCTTACCTGCCGCCCCGCCTCTGCCGCCGCTCCCGGGCGCCGCCGAGCGGTTCTCCAGCTTCTCCGGGGCAGCCTCAGGCCAGCGAAGGTCCCGCCGCCTCAGGTAGGCCCGGCCGCCGCCTCCGGCCGCCACCAGCAGCGGCTCCAGCTCCCCCTCGCGCATCTGAGGGGCCAGCCGCGCACTCAGGCACGCGCGCCGCAGCCGTCCAGCGAGGCCCAGGGCCCACCGCCCGCGCCCCCGGGTGACCGGTCCCACCCCGGGACTCAGGGAGAGAGTGACCTCAGGAGCGGAAGGAGCGCGGCTCTTGCGCACCCCCGGTACGGGTTCCGGACTCCATCTACCTCGGGCAACCCGCGCACGGCGCTCCTACCTGGAAGACGTAGGTGCCGCCCCCGCCGCCCCCGCCGCCCCCAGCCCAGCGCCGCGACCCCGGGACCGCTCCGGTGCCATCCTTCGTCTCTTGCTCTTCGGCCGCCCCGGACTCTCCGAGGCAGACGCGCTGGCTCTCCGGGCTCCCCTGCCGACCCCAGGCACACCGGGGTGGGCTGGGCTTGGCGTCCACGCACCAGGGAAAGACCCGCAGCACTCACAACGGCTCTGCCCTCCCCACCGCACCCCGGCACCGCTTACTCCGGGACAGGCGTCCTCTCCCTGCTGTCCCACGAGGATGTACAGCGGCTGCCCGCGGCCCAAGGAGAAGACGGCCGAGACGAAGACCCCGTGGGCTCGCGACAAGTGGTTCTTGGCGCCTTTGCCGCCGGCAGCTCCGTACGCGGAGATCCTGCGGGACACGGTCCTGAGTCCCCGCGCCATCTGGACCCGGGGTAGCTCCAGGATTTGTCTAGGGGAGGGGGAACTTAGAGGCTGCAGGAGACTTTGAAGGAATCGGAAGATTGGGTTTGCACACCAACTATTTCAATTTTTCGTGTTGTTTAAGGAGTTAAGGATCCAAAGCGCTGCTGACTGACCCGGTTCCTCGGGGGTCGGCGGTCAGGGGACCGACGTTGCTTTGGCACACCCCAAGACGCAATGTTGCGTCCATTATTAAAGAACCCGGGGCCGGAGGGTCACCGCCCACCGTGCCCCCATCCGCACTTACAGATACTGCCCGGGACTGGGCGCCCGCCACTGCTGCACGCCTCGCAGCGGCCCCGCGGCGCCCACCGTCACCGCCACGCTGCTGCCCGCGTACGCCCCGTCACACTGCGCCTGTGTGGGCCCGCGCCGGCCGCTGGCCCCGCAGGTGGAGAACAGCCACGGCCCCTCGGAGCCTGGGAGCAGGGAGAGAGGAAGGGGTCTTGCAGCCCAAGGCCAGGCTTAAGGTGGGCCGAAGGGGTCTGGGCACATTGCGCAGCGGAGCAGGGAAGAGCCCCGAGTTCACCTGGGACGTTCAGAGAGGCAGGCGCCAAGCTGCCAGGTCGGGTGGTGACTCTCGAGTCCTGGGCACCGGGGATGGACAGGGGCCGCGCGGAAGATGCCTGAAAAGACGCTTGGGACCCCGAGCTGAAACAGAGGACGGCGCCTGAAAGGTGGAGGCGACAGCAGTGTTGGGCGAGGGAGTAAGATTTTAACTGGGGGCGGGAGGGGGGCACAAAAACCATAACCCCCAGCAGCCTGCCCGGGTTGGGTGGCCACACCCCCAGCCCCGCCCTGCCGGTGCCCAGTGCCCAGCCCGGGCTCCGGCGACTAGGCCCGCGAAGCCCCGATACAGCCTCCGCCCATTCCCAGGGATGACCGCTCAGGCCGCGCTAAGCTCGTTCCTACAGGCGCTTCTGGTATTTTTTCAGGACCCGGACTGCAGCCCGCCCCCCAGGAGATGCTAAAACCTCAGGTTCATTCCTCCTTTCCAAGATGCGTGATCTGGGCGGGACCGGGTCTGCTATGACCGCAACACCCCGGCGCAGAAAGGCGCCCCGGCTGCCAGACGGCCCTTACCCGCGGCTCCGAGCCACAGCAGCAGGCGGCCCGACAGGCTCATCGCCGGTTTAGCTCGCCCCCGGCCAGGGGCTGCAGGCTGGTCCTTCCACCGCGGCCCCAGTGAGCAGCCGCGGAGCTGCGGGGCTACCTAAAGGCGCCTGGCCACGCCCACCCCAGACCCCGGGACGCCGAGGAAGGAAAGGGCGGGGCCTGTGGGCAGCTAGGTCCCCACTCTTCCGGGAGGAGCATCGTGGGGGCCCCGACCGGGCCAGGGGGAGGTGGTCTCCAGTTGCCTGCGGAGGGCTGGGGTCGGGCGAGGAGCTGCCGCATCCCTTTGAGGTGCGGGAAAGCCGCAAGCCCCACCCCAGGCACCTGCAAGGGGCTCACTGGCTGGGGTGGTGGTGGTCGCTCTGGGGAGGTGCTTTAAGGCGCCCCCACGGAAGCATCAGCACTGCGTTACTTAGGTTGTCGGTGCGCTGTAATCCGCAGGGACCCTGCAGCTGTGACGGCTCCTGGCTTCCAGGTTGTTTTCTGCCTTCAGTCCCCATCTTTTGTTCAAAACACCATGGAAGGGCAATGCATTTGCTTCATAAACACACTTGGAGAAAAAAGACGTTGTGGTAGTGAGTTGGTGTAGATATAACAGTGATTTTGCAAAACTCCACTACCTATGTGCCAATATACTCTGTAGACTGCTTTCTAAGACACAGAATTCATTTTTTTTTTCCAGCCAGAGAAGTTGTATTTGCGAAGTGAACAGGAATGAGAAGAGGAAGGGAGGGAGAAGCACCTCCGCAGAGGAATTCTTCGATGGGGTGCAATTTGAAAACAGAGGAAGACACACGCCAGAGCCGGCTTCAGGGTGTGGTTGGTTCTGCAGACTGGCAGGCGGATCACCTGGCTGCTTGTTACAAATGCAAAGTCTTGATTTTTCATTGAAAAAATTGTTTATTTATTTATTCAGGGACCCATGCGGTAGCCTAGCAGCTAAAGTCCTTGCCTTTAATGCCCCAGGATCCCATATGTGAGCTGGTTCTCTTTTTTTAAGTTTTTTTTTTTTTTTTTAATTGGAAAGGCAGATGTAGAGGAGAGACAGAGAAGAAGAGCTTCCATCTGATGGTTCACTCCCCAAATGACTGAAACAACCGGAGCTGTGTCAGTCTGAAGCCAGGAGCCTCTTCCAGGTCTTCCATGCGGGTGCAGGGTCCTAAGACTTTGGGCTGTCCTCCACTGCTTTCCCAGGCCACAAGCAGGGAGCTGGATGGGAAGTGGAGCTGCTGGGATTAGAACTGGTGGCCTTATGGGATCCTGGCACGTTCAGGGCGAGGACTTTAGCCTCTAGGCCATGGCGCCGGGCCCATTGTTTTTTTTTTAAAGATTTATTTATTTATTTATTTATTTATTTAAGATTTATTTTTATTATTTTTTCATTGGAAAGGCGGATATACAGAGAGGAGAGACAGAAAGGAAGATCTTCCGTCCGATGATTCACTCCCCAAGTGAGCGCAACGGGCCGATGCTATGCCGATCCAAAGCCAGGAGCCTCTTCCGGGTCTCCCACGCGGGCGCAGAGTCCCAAAGCTTTGGGCCGTCCTCGACTGCTTTCCCGGGCCACAGGCAGGGAGCTGGATGGGAAGCGGGGCTGCCGGGATTAGAACCGGCGCCCATATGGGATCCCGGGCGTGCAAGGCGAGGACCTTTAACCACTTGCGCCATCGCGCCCGGCCCCTTTTTTTTTTTTTAAGATTTATTTTTATTATTTATTTTTTTTTTATTGGAAAGGCAGATATACAGAGAGGAGAGACAGAGAGGAAGATCTTCTGTCCCATGATTCACTCCCCAAGTGAGCGCAACAGTCGATGCTATGCCATCCGAAGCCAGGAGCCTCTTCCGGGTCTCCCACGTGGGTGCAGGGTCCCAAAGCTTTGGGCCGTCCTCGACCATTTTCCCAGGCCACAGGCAGGGAGCTGGATGGGAAGCGGGGCTGCCAGGATAGAACCGGCGCCCATATGGGATCCCGGGCGTGCAGGGCGAGGACTTTAATCACTTGCGCCACCGTGCTGGGCCTGGGCCCATTGGTTCTTAACATGGTAATATTAGGCCATGTAAATTTGAGAACCACTAGTATTTGCAAATATAGTTAGGAAATGGTTAATAAAACTTACTGGATAATTTTGAGTTGAGCAATTCCATATAGGAGTGGCTTCTTTTGACCTACCTACAGGATGAATTCTGGCACATTACACTGCCCCTGTTAACCTACAAACAGGAGTTAGTAATACATATGGCCAACAAGGCCAGAAAGCCTAAGTGTTTGAATCCAGAGTCAAGACCCATCTAAAAACTACCAGATTAGACAGAGAGCCTGAATGCATGGTTTCTCTACTCCTCCCTGGTTCTGGCCTATCCTCCCTGCAAAGCTCATTCACAGTGGAGATGGTGACATGTGGCAGCTACTAAACTACCTTGAGTTTTGGTTTCTTTCTGACTCAGGAGAGCAGCCCTCAGGCACAGCGCACCGTCAGAGCAGATGCTGATCTCACTGAGAACACTTGTCCATCTGGTGGAATGCTGAGTTCTGGAGGAACTCTCCGTGCCATGGGCCAGCCCAGCCCTTGGATACCAACACCCAACTAATACGACAGGAACCAAAGAGGTTTGTCAAAAACCTTTATTACAATGCCCATCAGCAGTGTTCATGTGTTCTGGCCCAGGGTGAGAGTGGTGTGGGTGAGGGGAGGCGTGCTCTGTCCCATTTCAAAGGGGCGGAGAATGGCTGAGGCCCCCTACACTCCCCAGCAGGTATCAGAAGTGGCCAGGCTCATTCTGTTCCCACCGAGCTCCAGCAACACAGGAGGGAGACAAGCTTTGTGCTGGCTTCTCTGCCACCTGCCCGACTTCAGGACACCACGGCCAGCCAGGTGTCTGCTGGTGAACGCTGGCGGATGTATCCATCTCTCCATCTGCAGCAACTACACTAGGTCTCAGACACCCCACTGGGGAGCGCCCCTGAGGCCAGTCTCTGCAGGTATTGCTGACGCAACGGGGGCAACTGGGAATACAGCTCGAAGCCTTCTGGGAGGCTGCAGTCAGGAAGCTTATAGTGGAGGAGGTGCTGCCGGAGACCCTGCAGGGAGGGAACAGACAGCGTGGTGGGTGACTGTATCTTGGGGAGGTCCTTGTCCCCATGGTCCACTCATCTCCCACCCTTGCCCTCCTGTGCTTACCTCATTTGTCAGCAGCCATGTTTTCTGCAGCATACTCCTGCGGGCAGCCTTTACCTCATCCTAAACACAAAATTGGGCCAGGTAGCTCTGAACCAAGGGTGGGTGCTCACAGCAAGCCTTGCTTGGCCTGCAACCCTTGCCCAGCTGGCTCTGAGCTGGTTGAGTCACTGGCTCCTTTCCCTCCTTTGAAGATGAGGCTGGAACCTACCGAGCTCTTTGGGTCCTGGGAGAAGATGAAGCTGTTGATGTGAGCCACAGCCACAGCATAGAGCACGGGGCACCAATGAGGACGCAGTGCACCCGTAACCAGGGCCCGGAAGTAGAGCTGAAGGAGGTCCAGGTTGTCTTCGGGAGGCCCCGTGTAGCACTCCAAGGGCACGGGCAACTGTGATAGGGGGTAGAGACATGCTGAGGCTGAGTGTGGGAAGGTGTACCCATGGGTGACATGGTGGGTGGCTGATGGTCTCGCACACACCAAGTCATAAGGACAGGAGTCGGACACTGGACAGGCAGCCATCCTCCCCTCACACAACAGTCAAGGTTAAAGATGACAGAGCAGCAAGTGGGGGATGGTGGGGTCTGAGAAGCAACTGTGCATTCCCGCTGCCTGATGGCACTCACTGAATGAACTCAGTATTGAAATTTTCAAAGGGTCACATGCAGCTGCTCAATCACAATGTCAAGTTTTTTGGAAGTTCACATTTTGTAGACATGCAATTCTCTTTCGAAAAAGCTACTGATTCTACATGGAGATGACCACAAGAGAAGCACAGGTAAAGTTTATGTCCTGTGCTCATTATCATAGTGTTCCTTAAAATAGGACACATTTTGCAGCACTCCACATACCCAGCAAGAGGCTCTGATAAACTGCGGCACGGCCACATGATGGGTTATGTGATAACGTTTACAGTGTTGACTGCTTGAAGAACAGATACGGGAAATGTTTATACTATATAATGTTAAAAAAATAACCTTATTAAAGTAACACTGATTTCATAAAAATATATAAGCACATTAAAAAAAGGGCTGGAAAAATATTTTAAAGAGATTAGAAAACCAAAATGGTTTCCCTGTGTAGTAAAGTTTGTAGTGAAGTTACAAATGACCTCAATGCTCTTCTCGATTCCTAAACAGGTCCTCCATTTCCCAGTAAGTATTTTTCTTTATAGGTGTAGAGTATACTTACATCTCATCATATCCTAACTCTTTGCTGTTTATGACAGCTTAGCCTGCGGCTGAGGGCCTGTGAGACTCTGCCCCCAGCCTTATCTCCCCACGAGCCCCAACATAAACTCCCTTATGCTGGTGCCTTCTAAAGCTCGACTCCCTATCCCCTTCCCTCACACCTTCCCCTTGGGTGTCAGGTCAAACCCTGCCACCCCCACACCACCTTTCTCTTAGAGGATGCCCACCTTGATCTCCCTCCACCCTCTATCCTGATCTTAATCCCTAGAATAGGAGTCATTCCCATTCTCACGGACTTTGGTAAACGACTCCTTAGCCAGACTGCAAGATTTCCTACTGCATAGGAAGCTGGGCCTGGCATGTTTCACATGAGGCCCATCCAAGCTCCCCACTGCCCAGGTCTGCCCTGAGGCCTAGTGCAGGATGCCCTCACAGGCCCTGGTGGGCTGAAGAAATACCTGAGTCAGAGGCAGACTCAGGGCTCTCAAGGCTCCCAGATGCTCCCCAAAGAGGGCAAGGCGCAAGGTGACGCTGAACCGACGCTGCAGGGGAAGGAGGACCAGGGCCCCAAAGAGGTGGTCCCCAAAAGAGACAGCCTCGAAATGTTCCAGGAAGCTGGCATAGAGGTCGGGGAAAGATGTCAGGCCAGGAAGTGGGCAGTCCAGCTTGAGGCTTGGCAAGACCTGAGGGTGACAGAGGCGGACCAGGAGGGCAGCCACCAGATGCTGC